ACACACATACACACACACACATACACACACATACATACATACGTGCACACATATACACATACACAGCTGTCATCCAAAATGCAAAATGCAAAATGCATGCACAATAGAGGCAAGCTAGACAACACCGACAATGAAAGATGACATTTTTTCATCCTCCGCTAAAACTATTTCCTATCATAACAAACAACACACGGTCACATGACACACACACACACACGCGCATACACACATACACACATACATACAGACACACACATGCAGACAGACACACACACACACACACATGTAGACAGACACACACACATATACGTGTAAATTAACATTCTGTAAGTGGCTTGATAAACCTACCTCCTCCCAATCAAAGGATATCTTTTTTAAGTCTTCCCATTTACTGTGGGAAACCCGAAATTATTTCATAATGTTAAAAATATCAATTTTCATGAAATTATTTCCTAATTATTCTCGTTTAAAAGATTTATGGTTATATTTGCGTGAAATCTTACTCATTAAGATTGTTAACTTTTATGATTATGGTAAAGTATCATCTTTGACTTTATTTCCGTACTATTATTTCCTTAATTCTTGATGTTTAATCGACTATCAAAAAGCAGTTCCCTATCATAAAAATTTGCGTTCTCAGCTTAATCTCATTTCAATCTTATGCCATTCTCTTTTCAAGTTTCATCTTCTACTTCTCATTATTGACCACAAAAAATACCTACAAGTAATCGATTCAATAAACGATATTTTCTAATAATTGTATTATAGCATCAAGAAAAACTAAAACTCTCTATCAAATAAAATAATTCCGCACTACTATTCCAGTATGCAAACTAAACCTTTCCCAAAATTAAAAATTTATAATTCTTTTAAGCTTCAAATAAACATATTCCTGCGAATAAATATCTTAATGCAATAAATGCTACTCACGAAAATCGAAGTTATCGGAAATTTTTGCTAATTATAGCATTCTATAATGCGCTTCAAAATACAAGTCATTTATTTTTTCCTCACTTCACAAAAAAAACTACCAAAAAAGAGTTCAATTAGAAAGATTTGACTTGTTTCCTTCAAAACATTAAATTCGGAACACGAAAAAAGAATTTCAGTTTTAAATATATGTATACATATGTTGACTTTTGTATCGGCAAGTATGTACATAACAATGGAAACATGAATGAAAATATATTCACATACATACATATTAAGCACTATCTAACTTATTTTATACAAGTTTCAACAGAACGTTTATCCCGCACTGAATCCGATCAAAGAGATCCTAATAACCTGTGTATCATGTAAAGCATTTTAATGAATTTATGATTGAACATTATACATTATAAAATAGAGCAGGTTACCTAGATTGCAAGAAACTGTACTGAATCTAGCCAATGTGCAAATTACTTTCAAATATTGCAATTTTGTTAAAGAGTAATTCAAACTTTGAAGTTAAATTTCTTTTTGAGGTGAAAAAATATGAAAATACATGATTTTATGGTTTAAGATCATTGCATACATTTGAGAAGATTGGAAATATAAAAGTGAAAATTTTAAAAACAAAAATAGTAGATGTGCCGGTTAGAAGAGATCACTTAGGACAGCAGCGCTTATCCAAGATAATGATGCCTGGGAGAAAGACTTAAAACTTAAGATTGTTAATTCAACCTAGAGGGCCAAATCGTTTACGTAAGCATTTACGACCCATACCGAATGCAAAACTACTTATGAAAAATTAAAGGGAAAGGCTAAGAAGATGACAATTTTAGATTAGAATATTCGTTGATGCACAATATTATGTACTGGTTATAGCTACTACTGAAGTGGAAGTCAGGAAATCTGACTTCTATGTTATCGATTAGCAATTTCTAATACAAATGTAATATACTATGACGGCTAGACTTTTGAAAAATATTTGAGAAAGGAATGGGAAAAACGTAATGGAAAACTAGAATATTTAAAAATTTTCTTTTAGCGACATTCATTTGAATTAATTATGTCGATAAGATCCTTCACATTTGGGGATTCAAAGGTTCTAATTTGATCATTTCTTCGACGTCTGCTTCCACGAACTGCAACGGCATCGTTACCAGCATTTACGCGTTGTTGCTGCATTCGTTCAGCACGAACAGCACGTGCTTCTGCTTTCTGAAAATCTGATACATAATAAAATAATCAACATATGATACATTGTATATCATATATCGATTATTCGTTCTCACAGCAAGAGGCGGGTAATCGGAATGTCAAATAATTGGGCACTAGATATTGCAATATTCGATCACATCATTCTAGCTTTAACCAATGGGAAATAAATGACGGAAGAAATAATATACAGAACTACTGAACAAATGCTGACAACGTTTCAATGACATAAACATAAAGCAAAATGAAAATTTAAATAATAAAGTTTAAACCAACAATAAGCGAGTCTTTAAAAAGTCTGATAGCCTGGCTCAGAATCTCAAGGATATTTTCCAAACCCAATTGTGGAGCACAGTAATATTCTTTTAAACGACTCTCATTATGGCGCACTTTTTTGATGGATCGTGATAATTGTCCACATTTTGCTGTGGAGTCCTGCAAAAAAGAGATGATATCAAAGGATTTCAATCAACTTCTACTTCTAATAGTATTGAAAGATGCTTGAGAGAAAGAATGATGGTAATAACCGTACAGCTAGAGTGAAATTTTTATATGAAATTTACACACCATAATGATAGGGGAATAATATGCATAGAGTTCACCATCGCCACATTCCTGCAAACTTTTTAATGACAGTTCCAAAGAACGACGAAGTGATGCTTCTGATTTTTCCAAGTCTTCAATCGAGTATTTCCTGAAACCTTCCATTCTTTTTGTACATTTGGAAGATGAAAAGATTGCATATTTCAAACGGTCCCAGAACGTTAAAACGAAAAGCATTAATCCTAAATATTTGATGTTGCCTATGTCTCCAGCGTAGAAGAAGTTGCTCTTTTGGCTTATTTAGAAAATCAATTCCAATTTATGGCACCTAGTCTGTTTTTGCACAACTTTCCACACGCAGTACATTATAATTTGAATCATTGCTTTTGAAAAAATTTCACATATGCTAAAACTTAGCACTAACTTTGCAGGTTCCAAAAAATCTAGGACTTTCACAACAGCTCGCAAATTTTCATCAGCATATTCTGCTAAAACATCAACAAGACGTATGTTAGCTGCTGCACCATTTCCTTTTGTGTTCAGAGCAGCCAAAAATGATGACAGTGTAAATCCAGAAGCACCAGCAGCGAAAGTTGACTAAAGTATTACACTTGTTCGATAAAACAATTTTTAAAATTTCTAAGCAAGTTTATATGATAAAATTATTCATTGTTATTTTCATCAACTTTAAACTAGCAAATATTACACTTCGTTATATTGACAAAGGAATGGTTAAAGGTATAGGCAGTCTAGTTGATTGCTAAATTAAAAGAAGCATTTCGATATCCGAGATTGTGAGGGAGCTTAAGCATACGGATATTACAATCAAGAATACCAACTAGCTAGCAATCAGATATCGTCTAACCTGTAATTGAAATGGTTAACCTAGTTTTATGCGATGGAAAACCTACGAACGAAACGAATATAAAGAGTACAACAAAGAATAAGATCAAAATATAGATGGTGGAGAGATAAATACAGATAATTCAACAAAACATATATGGCACTATGGCACTATAATGAGACAACAAAGTATGCCGTTCTCAAGTAAATAATTTATTGACTGTAAGGACAGAAATACTATTTGTCCATTTTTCTTACATGTAAGTTAATCATAAAGAAATAAAACAAACTTGATTCAAAAAATTTCCATACTGCAAGCAGCGATGAAAAAAGATGTTAATGGAGGCAGAGTTGTAAAGTTCATTGGAAGCGGTTAGAAGCAGGCGAATGCAATCAAGTTGTCGTGCAAGCTATAATAAATCAGAGAAATTCTTTCAAAAATGACAATTTAAGTTTGCAATTATATCACTATGAAAGGATATTTCCTTAGTTACGCATTTACTACGTGACTATCACATATTTATCGTACAACCAGATTAATATTATATCAAGTATTACAAAAATAAACTCACATCGCTTACAATATTGTCAGCAAGAACTTTCAATTCTATACGCAACTTCAATAATCGTTTTTGAGCAATTAAGAAGCAAAATAATTCTGCATCTTTCATATTATCGGCGGTCTTCATTTTAGCAAAACACGCAAGCTGTAAAACATTACGTAGTCAATGTATTAAATGATACTTCAAATATGCAATATACAACAATCAATGTCAATGGTTCCTTCTAAATACATTTTTTTCAGTTTTTTTTTTCTTCCGCCCAGCATTAGCTATCATAGAGCAGCATGACTTTTTGTTACAGACATATCATCTTAGTTCATGTCAGCTAATGAATTTCTCAGTCTTTCCAAGAGAAATGAATTCTCTATAATTGAGAAAGAATTCTTCCCTCAAAATGAAAAAAATTATAAGTATGTCACAATTATAGCATATGTTCTGTTGAAAGAAATTCAAATTCATGAAAAAGGGGTAACCTCATCGGATGATGGGAAGTGCTTCAAAAGAGAAGTTAAATAGTCGAGAGAAAGATCACTAATTGCAAGCGATTCCATTTTCTGTATTAATTGCTCCAATGTAAGTGGACGGAATCTGAAAAACAAATATGTAAAATTTAAACGAAAATGAAATAATGATAAAAATACTTCGCCTTTGCACGCTGTTACAATTTTTTTTTTATTTCTTAAACTTCAAGATTATCTTGCTTTTACTATGAAAATATCGCCATAGAAGCATAATATATTCTGAAATTCATTTCAATGTGATGCATGTACGCCATGATGTTTTGGAATGCTTTTACTTAAAAGCATTCCAAGGAACATTCAATAACTATACTGCGTAGCAAGTACTATTAAACTATTATGGTTGAAGACTACTACGGCTGAGAATTTGGATACCGCCTCAATAGATAACTCAAACAGCCTTTCCTTGAATAGTTTCACGGAACCCTAGAGGTCGATGACTTAAGGTTGTTCAACAAAAGAACGTTTTCAGTATACAATACATGAATCAACAAAGAACAAATTTGTAAGGCCCGAATATAGCTAATAGATTATTGTTGTTGTTGCAGGCTTTTTAAATTTTTTATAATCAATCACCTTGCAAGGACGATGCCTAAATTGAGTGCCCGCTTTTCCGTAAGAACACCAAATGCTGCACTTTGCTTTCTATGATCAGCACCAGCATTTCGAGTTTGCTCCTGAGTAGCGGCAATACGCGAATTGCATGGACGCGTTCGTTCAAAAACTTTTTCCAGCTACAAATTCACTCCGAAAAACCAATTATCACTATTTTACAAAAGGTAATGACAAAGAATATAGTATTTCTCATAATATTCTCTCCCTCCGCCACTTAAAAATAATTGTGCTAAAGTGAACCTTCTAATCAAGTCCTCTATTTTATTTTCCTATTTAAGGAATGTACTATTTTTCCCCCACTTCCAGGCAAATAGACTCACAGCATATATAACTCACAGCATCATTCTCAGAGCTTGCGTAAAGAAATCGACAGGTTCTAAGAAGACAGCTCTTGCTCATGGGCAGAATGTTTGAATTTAGCTTAATCTAAAACATCTTAATTCTACCAACCCGTTCACGTTCTTGCTGATTAAATTCAGCATAAATGCCACTTTGATCACTCCAGATAGTCGACCGTGTCACTATCATTTCTGGCTTCACTGCCTCCCATGCAACCGTATTGGTTGCACATTGCTTTCTTGAAAATATATAAAATATATAAAACTTATGCAATTACCTGTTATAAATTTTATTAAGATATGCTATATGATTAACGAACTTTTACCTCACCTCTATCCTATTTCTAGCAGACTAAATTTCTGCCACAGTTTTTACTAACTCAGCAGTTTAGAGCATAAAAAGCAGTGATCAAGCAGCCCAGTTAGGATTTCAACTCTCGTAATCTGTAAATTTTATGTTCTGGACTAAAGAGAAGAAATACAAAACAATATTCATGTTAAGACCATTCCAAGAGGCATCACAGGTGCTAATACTTATTGTTGATAAAACAAGTAAGACTATTACTTGTATACAGAAATCGATTTGACGACAACTGGAGGTTCAGTGGCCGGTATTTTTTTTAGAAGTGAAGTATTCAGAAACTCGGGAGGAGGTGGAGGCAAAGGAGGTGGAGGAGGTACAGAAGTAATCGGCGGCTTCGCTGTACTGAAATTTATAATTTATTAATATCCGGAACAGAAAGAAATCTTTATTAAAGAACAATTTTATATCCCTACCAAGAAAAGCGTTAAAAAAGTTCACGTATCACGACTATATGATGAAGGAGAAAACTTTGTTTTTGCAAGGAAAGTAACTTCTCAATAGAAGTTAATAAATATTGATAACCATTTTGCCAAATTTTCTTTTCTCATCATTAAGATGAGACAAAACAGATTTTCAAAACATTGAAAAATAAGTATTGAAATGTAAAATGAGGCCTAGTGACCTGAAAACAATGATGAATTTATTAAAAAATGTTTGCACAAAATGCTTAATTTATTATGTTTAATGAGGATGAAGCAACAAGCCATCAGTAGTTAAATACAACTGGAATATGCCAATTTTCATTAGTTTTTCAGAAACTGGAGATGCTCTACATGGACCTCTTCTATTAATCTTTTCGCCTACCTTTCTTTCTCAATAGGTGGTAAATACTGCAGTGATTTTGGTGATTCCTTCAAACTGTAATTTTTCTCGTCACTCTTTTCATCTGGTTTTATGCTAGAAGGTACTGCAGGAATATCATCATCTATGAATGGAATATTTGCCATTTCGGTCTGTCGACTTTCACTACAGCGTTTCATTCGAGAAGTTGATCGAGGCCGTCTTATTGTCTTGAAAACAGCTCAGTGACAGCTAGTCAGAAACATTATAATATTATAAATATCATTTGAAAAATTTTAAAAAAGTGATAGAATTTTCTGTACTGACCTAAATAAGCTAGAATTTCATTCTGATATTTCAAAGTCTAGCACTAGTCTTTGAAGACACTAAAGGATATTCAAAAGTAGTAATAAGTTGAGCAACAGTTTAAAAAAAAAATTTTCAATAATACAAGATAAAAAGTAAAAACAGGATATATATAGAAACCTGTAACACTAGCGAGGATTGATTAAACATCAAGTGGCTTTGAACATTAGTGCACCTGGTATCATCTTCAGAAGGTACGACATTACATGAATCGTCTTTTGTTACTGAAATCTTATCAATTTAATTCCCTGAAAACTTACATTTCTCCTGACAAGAACTAAACTAAGTTACCTGCTTCAGTTTGCACTCCTTCACTTCGCAAGTGACCTCTTTGAAGATAATAAAGTACACCTCGCAGTCTTTTGCCGTTTGGTTGAATCTTCGCAATAAGCTCTAGTATATCCAGCTAAATAAAGATGCTACGAAAGTGTTTTCTATTAAAACTACTCGTCTAATTTCACATTAAAGAAGCAAATTTCAAGATAGCGATAAATCTATTCTTGCACATAAACTAAGGAAAAAAATCAAAAATCTGGTTAAAATGATCTTCTAAGATAATTCAAAAAATGGTACACTTCTAAGCTACGTGGAATAAGTATTCAGCTGATTACCATTTCTGTTTTCCTGGATGCAAGAAAAAAAAAATTTTCAAAGTAAAAGGCATTTTTAACATGTTATAAAGGAAATTTTTTTAAAAAAAAGCGTTTTTGAAATATCTGAAGAAGGCATAAATTTCGAGTGATTCAATTTTTCTTTTTCTTAATATAAATTCTACAACGAAACTTTGACGTACCATAGGACAATTTTCGGACTATGTAAATTAAAGGCAGTACAATTAAAAATTTCTCACATTAAAATCTAGCTAAATAAAAAATTTGTGACAAAACATATACCAAAATCTCAGCTGACGTTGAGTGCTTTAATTTTACGTATGCTGCTTGGAAAATATCGATCGGATGACGGGTACCACTACCTACGAGATTATCGTTGGATTCACTAGCGAAAAATATTTCCAGTTCTGATTCCACTGCTTGATTTCGCGATTCAATCAGGCTGGGTAGTGCATTGAATAGACCCAACGCTAAAAATGGATTTCCATCAGAATTTTTGAAAAAGCAGTTAGAAGTTGAAATAGAATTTGAACAATCAAAATAAAAATAAATTTGAATTAATTAATCAATCGAGATATAAATCCTCTTAAGTATTCCGAGACCAAATTTTTTCCCTGAATAACAATTAATAACAAAATCTGTACTGTTTTAAAATTTCATAGCTTACTTACACATCAAATCTTGCCGTAATGAATGACGTTGCATGTAGTCTTTGCACTGAAGTATGATTCGATTCAGAGCAGCCAAATTTTTCGCTTTCACACTCGCACTGACTGCCTCCGATTGAAGTTCTTCTAAGATAACTTGCACGCTTCGAGTTTCCTGGAAGAATAAACCGATTCAGTTATTCTTCTTGCAATCAATATAAGAGAAATAATCCCAAACAATATTCTTAAAAAATTCAAGAGAAATGGGAAATGAAAATATAAAAACTTGTCTCTGAACACTTTTTTCAGGCTTAAAGGAACAGATAATATCAGAAATGACAAACTTTATTCAACAATTCGAGCGAGTCCTTCCGTGATATCCGAGAAGGCAGTACTGACGCTATCGTCTCTGAAAATTTATATTTGTTTAATTTTATATATTCTATAATCATGGAAGTCAAGTCAAAGTCTCAAAAATAGTTATCACAGATTAAAAATTTAAAAAAATATTTTATATGCTTGTTTTATTTATTTAAAAAAGAGCAAAAATTACCACAGAGGCCAAAAAATTCAACCAAGCAAAAATAACCATCATGAATTTCCAAATCCGGAATATCGGTAACATGTTGCGGCGGAGGAGGTGAACCACCCTTTCCGGAATCAGCATCAAAACTTCCTTGTCTCCTGGAGTTTTTGTCCACATCTTTAGCAGCAGATGCAGTTGGAGTCATAATTCTGATCATCTCATTGGAACCAGCACTTTCACAGAAAGCTGTCACATAACTACCAGAAGAATTGGATTGAAGCGATACATTTACATTAGTCAATGACTTTGCAAATGAATCCTCTTCATTTCCCAGACGATACTCCTCTGTATCCTAAAAATCCAAATAATACATTCATTCTCCAGGCATTTTCCCATTCTCAAACTTCATTAAAACTTTAACGTGATTTCTTCATATTCTGTTCCACCTATCACTGTGTAAGCATAAGAGCGTTATAGTTTGCTGAAAGATATCCTATGTTAATGAAACAAAAATGATGCATACCATTCATAAATTTCAATTAGCTTAAGAATTAATTACAAACTGGTATATTTGTTGTAAGTGATATATTACTCAGAACAACAATGAACCAAAAAAAGCTAGGAATGCCGAAAAATAAATGAAATGATGTGATGCAGTTCACTATTTCGCTCTTTCTGCCTCTTCTCTTCTTTCTGCTCTTCTTCGATTGTTGTCAGAATCTCACCGTAAAGAATTCAAATCATGATATGCCGCCTTTTTTTGTTTTCTACTTATGAGAGCGCGAAATGCACTTGAATATGTACTTTTTTTGGGAACAAAACATCTCAGTAAGCTATCCAAATTTACAAATACTCGCGCAAACCGAAAAACGAAAATAACCGCATAACGCATCATTTGCTTGACTCCATTTATTAAACAAGCAGTGCAATCAGGTTCTCCAATTTGAATGAAAGACTTTCTGACCAAGCTTTTTATCTGCCATCCTTATGTATTCAATTTCAAATATCACGTGCATTTCCATTTTATTCACTTGTATAATTATCATCGATGTCAGAAGTGTTTGTTCATAAACTTATTGCGGTTATAGATCTTGTTTTGAATCCATATCACAAACGAAGAATGGTTTGTCTTTTAATAAAAATAGTATTACCTTTGAAGGCTTTGATGAATTTCTTTCTTCGGCCTTTGCTTCTAATGCTTGCCAAAAAGATGACTGTACTTTTCTGATTGTCTTACTGCCCAGTGCAGCAACAAATCCTCTTTTTTTCTTACTTCTGAAAAATTTAAGCAATAAAATGAAGAAAATCCATAATCGTTTTTCAATATAAAAATCTGTAGCTCTTGGAATAATATATATACATATGCAAATAAAATAAACTGCAATAGAAGAAGTTTCAACTTCCAATTGCTACTTACATCACCTTTACATAATTTGAAAAGTAATGAAGTCTAAAGCAGTACTATTTTTTTATTTTTTATCATTAAGTAATAGTTAATACTGGATAGAACTTATTCGATACAGCGATTAATATACCACTATTACTGTTTAGGCAGGAAAATGTCATTAAAAAATAAGACATTGATAAGCAATATCAGTAGGCAAAATACAGCATTGAAAAAGCTTGCTTTCTGCCTAGTGCCATCACAATCGCAGCAGCACAAGATTCTAAATCCACGAATCCAAAATTCAAAATGACAAAACCAATAGCCAAACCACCGAAAATTTTTCGTAAATTTGAACAAACCGACCACTGTGAATCTAACCACTGCAAATAAGTGATGAATTAAAATAAATGATCAATTTAAGTAAAAATAAAAAAATAACAACTCAATGTTTTCATAAATTAGATTTCAGAATAGATATGAAAATTTTGAAGCAACGCTTTCTTCTTTACGAGGATTCAAAGTTCAAATTAAACCGGTCAATTGGTAAACTGTAATGACTTCTTAATCTTAACTATAGGGAATTGCTCAAAACAAAATTAACGAAAAGACGTAACGAAAAATGCAGTGGTTTAAGAGACGGTAAGACAAGGATTCATTCAGTATAAGGTTTACATAATATATTTAGGTCAGATTTCTCCAAAGCGATTGTTATTATGCGATTAGCGATCTTTATAAACTCATAGTAAGCCCAAGTAAAATTGAAATAACAATACACAGCCATGGTACAAATATTTGTCTTTTGACTTCACGAATAAAACTTATATTTGTTATATGGAAAAAGTGATGCAATAATGGCGGAAGCATATTTAAATCTATCAGGGAATGTAATGATTGTACTTTTGAAAATACAGTCTACAGATCTATGATCGATCTTTCAAAAAGGTTTTATAATATTAATGAAACGAAAAATATAAATTGAAATAAAGAACGAAGATCAATTAAGTGTAAATCTGCATCATCCAAAAGTACACTTTTAAGATAAGGGTCCTGCGGAATCACTACAATGCGTTCACAAGTTAAATATCTGAATTAATTTAAAAATATATAAATTAACAGAGCAAATTTGCTCTTTGTGCAAATTACTCAATTCTTAATTATCAAACGTTTCTTTCTTTTTATTTTCACTGGAACTGTTTTGGTTTAAAGTATCAACTGACATGATAAATAAATATACTGTTTTCTAATCTAACGTTCTGAATAACTGTATGGTTAGAATGCTAAGTGACATCAGTTAGTCACTTCAATCCAACTTGCGGAACCCAAAAACGTTATTACGTCTTTCTAACTTACTTCTAAACTTGAGACCTCTATCGTCATCCTTTCAAGTGAGAAGATAGACTGAGTCAATAAAGTTAATCTAATAATTGCTGACTGATTATTTCCACAAATCCAACTATCTGAAGAATATAAGTTTAGGGCAAAACGTGAATTTCACTTGGGAATTTCGGAGATGTAGTGAATTTTGAATGCTGTATGCGAAAATATGTCAATTACGTTTTCTGCATTTCATTTTGTGTGTGAATATCACTCAAACGGTATAATATGACAAATTAAAATAAAATTAAACCATCTCAAAAACTTCATTATCAAACAGTATATTTCTTGGGATATCATATCTACCTACTGTAAAAATAGTATCATCCAAAACACAAATCCTTCGTGCTTTTCTTCCTTTATTTATTCGTTTTGCAATACTACCTGAAAATCAAATGGTACCATCTGGCAATTACTTTAAATATTTTCTCTAACTCACTTTAAAATTTCTTCAACGTAAGTTACGACATAATATAACTTGCGTGACGTACTACATATGTTAGAATGAAGTAACTTGCGCATATGAACGTGATTGTGGAGTAGAAATTTTAAAATAACGAGACTTTAATTAAAATATTGTTTTTATTATAAAAGCGATATATTGGTCCAATTCCCTTTCTTAGTTTATAAATCTTCCAGTATACCTCAAGACATTCCTGTAATGGCTAGTTCAACCTATGCAGTGAATGATTAGGGGATATAATTTTCAAATAATTGAAGTGGTGATATAGCACTAAACTCCATAAGATTCAACATTCCTATACTCGAAATTGATCATCGAAAAAGAACGTATACTCCTGTCCTCTTGTAAATATCTTTGGTACCATATTTGGTACTTTGGAACATAACTGTAAATTATCTTTGGTTTTTTCTAAATTTTGATAATATGCTTTCCATGATGAGTGAAACAACATGAAATATACGTTTAGGGCAAAATTTTCGTGAATTTCACTTGAGAATTTCGAAGATCTAGTGAATTTCGAATGTTGTAAGCGAAAATATATCAATTACGTTCTGCGCTTTTCATTTTCAACGGTAATTATCAAAATCATGGAAGTGAGTGCAGAAAACCGACCAAAAAACAGCATTAATAAATGCATAAAACTCATTAGATAAATGACCGAAAGATATCATATCAGTTGACTTTGAACTAAACTGATCTAAGCCAATCCAATTTTAAATAACTGTAACCCTAGCAAATCTCCAAAATATTTAACCAGGTCAGCCTGAAATGCTTTAATCCATTCATCCAACGTGATCTAAGTGTATCAATCCACTTAACCCAACGTGATTTAAGCCATATCGATCATTTATTCCCTGTTCAGTAATTTTTTTAGGAATAGGAACAAAATATAGTTGTAATATGTGGACGATGTACCGCCAGTAACCAATCAACCGTTTCTACACTACAGGATGTCAGAGCATGAAGATGTATCTGAAGTCAGGATTTCCTCTCCATCTTTCTCTTCCTCTCATCTTCATATCTGTTCACATATTTATCTTTATAACAGTCATGTATTCATTCGCTGCAAAAGGAATTCGGGAGACATCCGTTCATACTCTAATAAATACGCCTATACTATCATTTTTTCATTATGATTTGGAAAAAAGCAGATGATTTAATGCGTTTGAAGAGAAGAGAGAAAAGGTATGGATAGTACCACCTGCTGAAATGATTCCATTCCGTAAAACTTTGAATGAGTGGCAAAAAGTAAGGTAAGTTGGTTTTAAAATCTGGGAAACAAAGCATTGTTTTTAAGTCTTTAAATATTGTATTGAAACAATAGTTATCACTACGATTCGACGAAAAACAAAATGAATAGATTGAAATGAAATTTTTGACTTAGTAATATTTTCTTACGAAGTAGACGACGCCATGTACGTGGTCTCGCAATTTTCTTGATATGAAACTCAAGATGTTCACTTTCCATTGCCTTATTGCAGATTTTTTCCCGTAACACTCCTGTTGAATCATTTATCACCTTAATACAAAAGCTGTCCTTTATGGTACAGCGCATTGTTGTAGAAAGATAATTCTCGATCAAGATTCATCATTGAACATGCCTTCTAAGGTACAATTTTACTCACTTGGAAAACAAGTGTTGATCTGAATGATTGATAATATTTTAATTGGTACCGTTAGCATGTGGCAATTCAAATTTCAGAAATTGGTAAATATTTCTGTAAAGTGTATTTGAAATTGATATTTGAAATTTATACTTGAAATAAGGAAGTGAAATTAGAGTTCCTAAGGAAATGTAAGTCGATAACTTGGAACAAAACTTGATTGATTTAAGTCATACTCAGAACAAGTAAACACTATGAATGGAATATGAACAAATCTTTATCTCTCTCTTTTCCTTTTTCTCTTAAAATAAGTAAAGTTGCTTTTCCATTGGTTACAAAAACAAATATTATATGACTACACAGCTAAGTGAGTGATTACTGATGAATTTGTTGCAATAGGGAAATGAAGGAGAAAGAAATAGCGATGAGAAGGGAATTGTAAAGGATCACGCGGTTAGAATAGGGTTTCTGTCTTAATTAGTACCACATCATTTAAAACCGATGACCTGGACTGGATTAATGGACCATCCGATAATGTTGACTTTGATGAAAGTCACTCATTGAACACTAGCACAGGTACTTATGTGGTCATGGTCGGACGACAAATACAAAATGTTTTATTAAATTCGTTAAATTGCGTAATGTTGACAACAAGCTTTACTCACTTATTGTGGTTTAAAAAAAAAAGCTCGTATTGTACAAAGAAATGACAGCAATGACACATTGTAAAACATTATTTACTACATCGTTAAAAAAATTGAGCTAATATTCTGTTTGACATATGCTTTCAAGGAAATTTTGAATCTCACATACAACGATCAGAATGAAAGATTCGCATAATATATTGTCGGTAATGCATAATACATTAATTTAAATACATGAGAGAGAAAATAGAATGAGGAAGAGATGAATTTAATAATGACATCATTTTAAAATAGCCAAAATAATTACATTAATTTCTTGCAAAATAAGACTAAAAAATTTACGAAGAAAAATGCGACAAATTAAGTCTTCTGAAAAATAAAACCTAAAAGACTCTCTCTTCCATCACTACTTGCCTTGTTTGATTCATATACTATAGCTCTTTGTTAGTTCAAATAAATTCCGTATCACTGAAATCTCCTTTATCTTTTTACATTTTCTCGAATATTTTATAACACCATGCTCGGGCAATGTCGATTTAGCTGCGATTGATTCTAAGAAATCATTTCAATCCTACATTTTTAAACGCGATCAGAATATGTTTAATTAAAATTCATTCCTTAAGTGATTGCTATTTCTTTATATGACATTATAAGTATTATTTGTTCTTTGGTTATGTTGTAAATATCATGAGGATTCAAATATGCCCTTGAAAAAAAATGAATCAAATTTAAAAATACTATTATACACTGAATTTACTTTGTTCAAGTTCTTGAATTGAAAAAATTTGAAATGAGTTTAAGAAATAAATAGTTTTCTCTATGAAATGAAAAGAATAGAAAAAAAACAAAGCCTATTCTATATTTGATTTTAAAATCATTGTGATTTAGGTTTAATATATCTGAGGTGGATATGAAAATTATAATTGGCAATTATTTGACAGAAACATATATTTGATTTTGGATTGTGTGAGAATTTTAGAAGAAAGTCTCATCAATAATTGCAGAACCGATACATTTCAATTCAATTTTTAATTAATTTCAAGAAAAAAGAAGCATTGATGTATTGCAAGATTGATGAAGAATTTTTTACAATTGCAAAATATTTATTTGTAAAAATAGTAATTCTGCTTTTTTTTAGATAGAAAATATTCCTAACCAAAATCAACAGAGAAGATTCGTATTATTTATTTCTTTCCTTTTATAATGTAAATGATTTATAATGCAGCATAAAAATAGGAAGATATTACAGGTAGTCATTTTACTTCCTGAATTGTTTATCAAGCGGTTGTTTTCTAATTTCAAGCAATGACAGATTCAGATTCAAGTACGATCAGCAAATTGGACGCAGACAGTGATTATATGAAGCGTCGTTATTTGAATAATACTAAAAGATTGCTGGTACGAATTCATTTATTTCAATCATATAATTGAAGTTAAAATTGCATTACGGTTCATAATTAAAGTTTTTTTAGGACAGCGAAGAAAGTGATAGTAGTCCATCACCTCCGAGTTATGCTGTATTTGAAGATGAAGATGGTAATCTGGTCAATCCAGCTCTCAATGTAAGTTTCCGACTTTATTATAAATAATTTCTTATAATTGTAGCCGTTTGGAGGATTTTAGGAAAATTTTGAGGGAAGTTCAGGATATGTCACCAATTTCACACTATTAAAGTGATTTGGGCTAACAAATGTTAGTGATTTATATAAAATTGAAAACAACGGTTTGATAGTTGATTAATAGCTTGTTCCAAAATGGCCCATTTACTTCTAATATGTATATTCGTTAGGCATTATCTTCAGATTACTGGGAAATATTGCTTGAAGGAAAGTGAATTTTTTTCAGGTGATCTGGCCAGCACGTCCGCATCGAGGACGCTATTCACTTAGTGAATATAAAGAGCAAAAACAACGTTTGCAAAAACATGCCGAGGAACGGCGACAAAATAAAAAGTACAATCTCAAACTCACTCTGTTCTTAAATACTTTAATGATAGGCAATGTAATTACATCGAAAGATGCTTATCTCGGACGAAAACAAGACGTTCTGTATCATTGCAGGCTGAATGTGATCGGTGTGCAAATTTGAAATCATTCTAAAATTGATCATTGCGATTCGTGTCTTTTTTTAGGCATAGGAAATGCGTTAAACAATCAGAAGGACAGCCTGATGTATTACGTTCCAATACATCAAAACAAACAAAAGGTAGCAACAATATCTATGTCGGTGTTCGGTCGGCATCAAGCTTACGTTCCATCTTGCAACCTACAGAATTTCGACTCTTTTATATGCAGCCAGAATCAATGAATTCATTTGATCAGGTGAATGATAATAGATAGCCTTCATCTTTTCCATTCAGATTGAGTACGGAATCTGAGTAAAGTTAAGGTACTATCGTGGCTTCTATAGCTGCACAAAAGTTTCCTAATCATAATGAGCAGTTTACTAATCATAATACAACTGTTTTATTTCAAAATCAAACATTCAATATCTTTAAAAAATATAGAAAAAAAAAGATCTTTCAAAATTCAAGTACGATATAAATCTACAAAGATTTAAATCAAATGTCCGGGTTATAATTAGAAGTTTGTAATTAAACGATAGAAACTACTGTTCCAAATTAAAATTCATTCTTTTAGATGCCTGTCAAAATGCCATTGATGTTGGCTTATATGAGTTCATCTGGAAAAATGTACAATTTCAGTTTCAAAAGGCATGAATATACTTCTGGGACATTTTGGCAACTGGATTTGAATGGTATCGAAGGTCCCGAGCAACCAATGTATCTTTTTTCTTCGATCTCTGAGTTTAGCTTTTTAATTTTATTTGATCGGCTTAGTAGTTAGTGAGATTTTTACGAAATTTTCATTTTTATTAATGTAAGGTAAAGTTTTTCTGCTACATACTACGCCAAGTTATGGTGACAGTTGTGGCTTATTGACTCTTCCTCAGACACTTCAGAAAGTTGCAGATTTCATTCAATATCAACGCTGGTACGATATTATAAATTGTTTGTTATCAATTGTAGCGATGGCAGATCGGAAATATTTCCAGTGGATTAATAATTATTTTAAAAAAAACCATGTTTTATTTGTGTTTCTACGTATGCATGCATGTTATTTAGATTTGTAAAATATATTCAATACTTGTCAATTCTGAGCAGTAAATAGTTTAAAGGAATATTATCAATTCTGAACAGTAAATGGTTAAAGGAGTATTCTAATTGCGAATAATACAAAAATTCTTTTTAGAAAACAATTATGAACTCTTCAGTTGTGTTAAATACATTCAAATTACGAAGATAGGTAAAGAGATAAAAAATAATATAATTAGCTGCTTGCAAACAGTTTTCTTGTAAAAATTATGACAAATTTCGTGTGTGCTCTTTTAATAATTTCAATACACTTTGCATTTCTTAATTAGCAAAGCTAACGAAATTTACACTGTAATCATCATAGATTTCATTTAAAATGCTTTATGCTGAGTTACTTAAAGTTCACGAGTTAACGCTTCAAATTTAATTTACAGCTTCGTTATGTCAAAATTCACAATGAAATGAAAAATTAATACAAATCTACGAAGAAATGTATTGAAAAGAAAAAAATATATAGGTAAAATTTGCTCTGTAAAAGGAATTGAATAAAAGATGAGTGAAAATATTTTTTTTAGATAAAAAATTGAAATCCTGGAATTATCTAATGTGCACATCGATGGATTAGAATAGGAAGTGATTGATATGTTATAATGTATCAATTTATGATATGTCTAATTTAATTATATCATTACACTTCCTTTGACCACGTCATCGAGTGGTTGATGAATCAGCCACTGGATAGACTACAGTTTCTGTGGTGGGTTTTGGATCAGCCGGATGAATTGACTGTCCATTAGCGTCCTTGAATTGACATTGAATACGCTTAACACCTTCAGGCTTATATTTTTCAAATATCTCCCGAGGTTGCATATTGCAATCTTCCTGAAAATTAGGGGATAAAATCAATAATAACTCTGAGAGCTATTTTTTTAGAAGTTATCGAAATGATGCATATGAAATTGAAATATTAATTGAGCATGAATTATTGTGTCGTGGGATATAGATTGGTACTAAGGTCACGTTTGTAATGTTTTTGAATTTTCATTTAAATTTAATATAATTGTCTAATAAATAGATAAACTACGAGGGAAGAAAAAAGTAAAAACTTAAAGTGTTACTTCGTTAATTCGAATATGATAAAATGAGATGAAATGTAAATCATCTTTTGGCACATTTTTCCATTTGAATGTTATTTTAATATTCTGAAATTATTGCGAGTTAATTTGAAAAATTATAATATTATAAAGTAATAGGTATTTTCCAGTGAAATTATTGTTTCTTTACAAAATATTACATATGAATTTAAGTTACAATTAGAGATAGCTTAATATTATATTTCTTTCTCTCAAACAAACCTCTTTCACTTTCGGAGCTATAATTCCATAAGCTGGCCTGATGGTAAACATTTTGTTTGCCGTACATTTTACCTGTATTTAAATTCTTTTTTTTTTCACTAAATCATAATTAACAAAACTCTTTCCTCTTCCTTATTCCTTTTTCTTAATATCCAAAGCAAAATTCAGTTCTAATTCATTATCGCCATTCAGCAGTAGATTAAAACAATTATAATTCTATTATCGCCTATATGTAAATTTTACACTATGATATAATCAGTTAATTCAGCATGATACAATCAATCAATTCCGATATTCTCATATTTCTACATATACGATATGATGTGTAATGTAAAATAATATAAAAATTTTGAAGACTTAGATAAAAATACGGCCAAGTTTCAACAAAAAATCATTTAATTAAATGGATATACTAGACAAATATTGTATAAATGGAAATGAAATAAACACTGAAAAGAGTGTAATATTTGATGAAGAAATTTGATGGGAAATAATCTAGGTACAGCTTTATCTCGGATAGGCATAAGTAAAATCGGGAGAAAGAAAGACCTTGAATGCTTGCATCAATAATGTGTCATTATAAATTCCGACATCAACCGTTATTGGTTTAACACCAATATCTGCACCCCTGCAATTTGCTTTTTTTTTTTAAATTTTATTCACTTAAATTAAAGTAAAAGTTTAAGAAAAATTAAAAAATCATTAAGGAATTCAATTCCTGATTTTGTTGCACATTTAATATTTTATACAACAAATTATAATGATTCTTGCAACCAAAAATCTTGAAATAAAAATTCATATTATAGTTGATTCTAAAATTACAATGCTTCTAATAGAAATGATAATTGTTGCATGCTAATTATCATTGCCGAAAATCATTCAAAAGCTATCGAATCCTTGGATAATTTCATCAACAGAGCTATAAGAAATTATATAAATTATTATATGACAAAGAATGAAATAAAATATTCTTATCATTGCTAATTGCTTATTAAATTTAGCGCACATGAAAATAATTTTTGTTGAGGGGATTAAAGTCATTTGGAATTCATTTTCATCAGGTGTATGATCGATTGGTCTGGCAATACCACCTGGCAACATTGATGATGTAGCCGAAAATGTACTTTTTTCCGACATTTTTGATCTGTAAAAAAGTTTTTTTCTTATAATCAATTTTCAAAACTTGTGCAAAAAAATATCAGGAATGTGTGATTGTTGCGTTTTTTGTATTTAAATGATAAATTTTAGATCAAATGCCATAATTATCTAATCTTTGTTGATAACCATTAGTAAGAAGTCCAAACAATGAGCTTTCTCTAAAATTTGAAAAGAAAAATATGCAAAAAATTTTGAAACTTTTCGAAAATTTAATTAAGAACATCCATTAATTTCGACTATTTCATTGATTTTTTAAATAAATGTTGTGCAAAAAGTTAAACACTACCTTCTTTTTTTTCAAAAATGTTAATTTTTCAAAGACAAAATTTATGCGATTAAATACTATTTCCCATCTCACAACCTATCCTATCTTACATTTCTTATTTGTCTTGTACAAGATTTACTTCTGCTTTTCCAGTAAATTTCACGGTTCAATGCTAACTTTTCACGTATGCAACGCCTTCGAAAGTATTAACTTTGACTCTTCACTTTCAGTTCCTTCCAATAGAGGCACAGGAAATAGTGAAAGGTTAAAAGTAGTAATGGCCAACCACTCCGTGTGAAAAAAAAGTATCAAATAACTTCAAACATACATTCATTCACTTTTATAGCTATAAAAAATGCTTAAGTGTATATCGATGTCATTTTTCAATTTAATATTGGAATAATTGTACGATTACGATATCAGTTATTAATGATACAATTAGGATTGAATTCCTTATTATGTCCGTGAAAATCATGATACATTTAAATTTAGGAGAAAAAAGATAATAACCAAAAGCTTTCGAGTCTTTTTTGTCATCTCATTTAAGTACCTTTTTTTTAAATTGTACTGCATATGAAACGAAAGATTTCCAACGTTTCTGATATTTTCTATTGTGTTAAATAATAAATCAAAATTAATGAGGTAATTCGAATTTATACATAACAAACTATTTTTGAAAATGGAAATAAATGAGTTGAATTAAATTTACTTTTCTTGTTACCGTAGTGATTTTATTTTAACTCCGGAAAACAGAACAGATGAAGATTGAAATGCTGCATGTATGGAGGAAATGAATCATAAACGATAAATTTACCAGTAAACAATAATCACACTACTATTATATGATGCATTCGCTTTTCTTCTTTTAAGCATTCGAATAATAATTTATTTAAATGCTTTAAAAAAAGTTTGAATTGATTTTATTAATGGAAATCCTAGCACTAATATAATCAACAATTTCCAAATGTAAAAAAGATAAAATTCGAACACCTTAAAATGTAAAAAAGATGAACTCAAACATCGTGGCGTTATTGACTAATTATATTCAACACTATTAAATTTTTAATTCCTCAAAATCGTCTGTTCTCCATAAGCAAATCATATCCGACAACATATCATTACCAAATAAAAATAATAACTACTACTGCAAAACGAAATCAGCAATGAGAGGTATATGATCGGACGGAGTTGTTGAATTAGGCCATGGTCCTAAAGTTCCAGCTAACTGCTTCATATTTGGTAAACTGAGACGTCGAATCAGTCGAATTTCTTTTTCAGACACAATTATTGCTGGACCCGAATTCAATTGCTAAAAAGAACAAATTTAAAGATAACTGATCAACTAGGATAATTCCCGCGACTTTTACTTAAGTTTGCAATTGTCCTCACTACAGAGTAGGGCCAGCTAATTTCAGGATATCGAGAAATTCAATCAAAAAGCACAATTTCAAAAACAAAAACGATTAGGTTTTTGTATATTCTGAACCAGTATGAATAATTGCTGGTAGTTCATTCATATAAATAAAAATAAGATAAGATAAATTACCGTGCTATCTGTGTGTGCTAAACGCCAGTTAGAATTCAAAAAAAAAAAAAAAAAAACAAAGAAGGGATTAGTAAGAAAGACATGAGTTTTATGATAAAATCGAAAAGAAATCTAAATAGTCACATTTTTTTGGAAATGAAACTTCTGTTTTCAAATGAAAATAACCTTAATTCCTTTTGATTTGACAGAATAAAATATAAAATCTGGATTAACAGCTTCAACACTATGATATGTCGAAATCATTGGCTGAAAAAATTTACATAATACGTAACAAACTTTTCTCGGAAACGGAATGCAAAAGCATTACTAATGTTCGATATAGGATAATTTAAGACACGTTTCTAGCTAACATTACCGCTAAAAAAATTATCTCGCACATCTGTATAAATGTTAAATCGACGCAGACAAATATTATTCAGATAACAAAGCCAATAGTAATCTATTATAAATTTTACTTCCTTACAAAAAAAATAGAATTATAAAACTTTACTTACTTCGCTCTCTGCATTTGTATGATGATAAACACTGTTGAAACAGAGTGGATGACTCCAGCAATTTACTGAAGGAAGTAACATTGTACGATCTGAAAATGCTTGTCATAAGCAAAAAATTTTTAAATGTAAAATTTAAACAAAGACACGACTAATCTCTTTATATAAATCCTGAATTTTTTAAAGTCATCAAAATTTTCACTTCATCAATGACAAAAAAATATCTCATTTGGAAAAATTTGAAACATAATATTTTATAATAATCTGATAGTAATTTTTGTACTGAAATTATAAATCTACCTCGGAAATTTTCCGTGCTGAAATTATAAATCTATCTCAGAAATTATGAATCTAACTTAATAAAGAAAAGTGTCGAAATATTGCTATTTGTTTAGTCTGCTTATAAAGCTTTTATATCCGAATCACACAAACACTAATATTTTTAAATGAATAACACAAAAAGGTCAAATCTTTTATATTTCATAGCATGCATGAAGCAACTTCAAACCAAGTTCATACTTCACAACTTTATATTACGCATTAATACTTAAATCATCTCACTTTTCTTCTGGCTTTTAAAGAATATATATATCAAGACAGACATCTTCAAACTTACTTTTCAGACATTTGAAACGACAATTCCGACCAATTCCTACATCTTCAGGTAATAAATTAATTGAAACAAATGGTCCACCAGCATTACCTTGACCCGAAATATCACCTCGTCGAAGATTAGTAAAACAAATTTCACCACTCATTATAAAATTATATAGCGGACTGTATGGCTGAATATTAAGATCACCGCATAGAATATACGGACATTCTTGGCCTGATTCCGGACCACATTCCTGTAAAGAAAATTTTCTTCACTTGAATAATTCTTGACTCAATTCTCTTCTGGTCCCAATGATTAATATTAAAAAATAAAACTGATTTAAAATAAGGTCCTGCTTACTACCCCGTATTTTTGAATATCCCTTTATCAAAAATGAGAAATAACTCCTTAAAATAAAAAATTTTGACTTTATTATCATTGAATTAATTTAGCTAGCCTAAACATGACTAATTTTTCAATGATCACTACCCCATTCTGACACAATAACATCTAATTTCTGTAGCATAGATCAATACGTTGAAATGTAAAATTGAGCTTACAAACATCTTATACACAATTATTGTTCATGAAGGAATGCCGGCATCATTGATGAAGCGTATCAAGTAAAATCTCAGTCAAATTGTTTGGATCTATTACCTTTTATATGTGACTTCTTTCAAAACGAATGGAAAAACGTCATGTTGGCAATATCGAAGGAAAAAAAAATTTTACCCTGTCAATGTTTGCAAGCAAAACAGCAAGTTGTGCAAGTTTGATATCACCACGTCGTTTATTAAATAATAAATGTGTGTTTGCAATGCAGAATTCCCGTCCACTTCGCATGTCTTTCAAACGAATCAGCTGACCTGAAATGGAAGCAAAAATATAGAAGATACTTTCGACGTTTTTCAATGATTTCACATATCATCTACCCCATCTCGATGCCAATGAGATTTGCAAAATTCATTTAAAAAATGCAAAACCCACCGACATTATCCCTGTCCAATACCGAATCATTGTTCACGTAATACTCAATATATTGATAATGAAGCAGTTGAAATTGAGATTTGTAAAATATCGCACAACCATCTATCAGACTATGCGTTCGTTTCTTATATTTACCAAGGAAACCAGCTGTAGAATATTTATGAAGTGATAAAAGTCATATAAACAATATATATAAGTAATCTTGGGCATTTACAATCCGAGAAAAAATTCAACAAAAGCAACACAAAGTAACTAGCACTACATATATGAACAAAATGACTTTCCTAGTGATCAGACTAACAATAGAAACCTCAAAAATAACAACAAATCAATGAAAACATCATGGGATAGTGAATAAACTAACTATCTCACAGAGTAAAATTACTTAAGGCAATCCATACAATCTATTTACGTTAATTATTTTCTTTTGAAACTTTCATATCAACACTAAAATGTATAAAATATAACACATTCAGTTTTTAACTAAATAATATTTACATAAAAAGCTTACCAGCTTCAAAGTATGGTCTAAAGAAGTGATCGTAATGATCGTATTGCACTTCCTGAAGACAAAAAATATCAGCAGCAATCATTGAGAATTCACGTGCCAATAATCTCCACCGGTTTTCCCAAGTTAATTGGTAAGCGTGACCTGGTTTTCTAAAAAATATGTCGAAATTATTTAATGAAAAGCGTAACTTCCTACGTAACTGTCACCAACTTAATAACCAACTCTGATAATATATGGAAGGAAAATACAATCTATATTTGCGAAAAAATGAATATTAACAACTTTCGCTTACGTAAGATGCATATATAATTCCGGAGTTTTACAGGCAGTTTGTTGACAAAGAACATTATAGCTACATATCCGTAACGGGTTCCCATTAATCAGTCCACTCTAAAATTATAAATTATATAAAAGATTGGGTAAAATCTCGGATATCAGTAAAACTGAAATAACTGTTATATTCTTTTTTAAGTGAATTATCTATTGCATAAACATATCTTAAGATATTTTTAAAACACTAACACTTTTGCATAACAAAGATTACCTCATTTATTACAAAAATGGTGAGATCTTTTACCGATCAGTATTGCGCAAGCATAAATAGAACTAACCTGTACAACATCCCATTTTCTCAACCATTTTTTACAAATTAATAAATTGCCTTGAGTTAGTAAATCCACAAATTCTGGCATATCTGCAACATAATAAAAAATATATCATTTATACACATTTTGAAGCAATTAAATTTAGATTTCTTTAAACATTAACGAAAGAAATATACGTTCTTTAAGAATATTTCGGCAGACCATAATGTGCACTCTAAGTCAATCAAAAAGTTTTTCCTACTCATATAGAGATAAACAAACAAATACTACTAAGAAAGGAAAGATGCTTTTTTATCCAGGTTTTGTTCCGTCCATCTTTCTGAAAGCAAAAGAATTTTCCGACGAGAAAGCAACACTTACAGAAGAAAGACTTCAGGAGCAACCCAGTTAACGCTAAAATTTTAACGTTAAAATTTGCGATGTCAGACTTCCAACAGTACGTTTCACACCAAACAGATCATGTGTGAAATTTATAAGTTGAAACGCAAATCCTATGAGTATCCTTCCCAACTGATTTTTATAATCCCTACAAACAAACTGTGTAATTACAGTCGAGGGTAGAATTTTAAAAGCAAATAAAGAGGTACGAGACGATACTAGAATTCACATTTCCTTTATATCATACATCCATAATTTTTTCTCCTACGATGTCTTCCAAATAGCTGAAAGTACTGACAAGCATAAACTAATCTAACTCGAAAGTTTCAAAAGAATTAGACAATGTCAACCACTCTAGCTTTTCTAATCTTTCCCAATTCACACAGGTTATATAACACCTGACATTTGTTAAAAACAATGTTAGCTGTAAACAAACAGCCGATGAAACACACAGTGGAAAATTCATTAACTAAACCACGAACTGAGTTGCATTAAACCAGCTTAATCATCCTGCAACATTCAAGATCAAGGATAATTGAGTAATCACCTAATTACTTAGTCAAAGTAATTGGCTGATGTTGCCAGTTGCCGATTGCATTTTTTTTCACTGCACTGTTTTTCCAAAAAGTACAACCAATTAAGATTCATGCAAGACAGTTAAAATGTTCATTTTAGAATGCAGTGAGAAAAAAAACAATGGAACCGCAACAAGATAAGAATAATATGTCAAAGAGTAAATTTTGTTAAAGAAAACTTCAGAAGAAAGACTTCAGAAACAAAAAATTAGCGTTTCCATAAAGCCCTTCCGGAGCTCTCACTACAGTCGAGACAGCAGAATTGAAGGTGTAGAATAGTAGCTGATAATATTTTTATAATATACATTAAAAATTTATGCGAGGTGAAGAGACGTCACTCCATGCTGATGAACAAAAACTTAGTTAATGTTAATCTAATTTAGTGTAAAATCTTTGTGTACAGTAAACGGTTATATGCCAATCCGCTCAACACCAAATAATAGAAACAGTCTGTATGAAGCGTAAAATTAATCAAAAACCGGGTTTTTCTATTATTCAATTGAAGAAAGCCTATCTAACAATTTTGGCGTACAGTTGAGATTCAAATTAGAAAAAAGGATGATAGTTGAAAAGTGAAAGCCAGTTTTTCATAATTTTTTTGGCATTTTCACTCTTTCAATTCGATTTTAAATCTCATAATTTATTTTGATTAAACTTCATACAGAACGACTGATCAGCGTAACGAAAAAAAATTAGATAATGATAGAAGAATTCAGTGTCTTAAATGAAAGAATGTTAAAGAGAATTCAAGCAATTTGAAACTTATCACTAAAAAAGCAAACCTGCAGCGTGCACCGATGAAATTGAACACCGCAGATTGTTTGCCGAAGGAAAATTTCGGAGATATGTACTATGAAAAGGGGAATATTTGCCTCGATGAATATCGAAAGACGTAGGAATCCTCGTCTAAAATAACCAGTTTTTTAAACAATAGCATATAAGTAAAATTTCTAAAGTAAAAATTTTAACTATCATATTAGTTTCAAAGATGACCAACAGATTTGATTGACAAAAAACCTCATGGTTTGCGGTACTGCCATTTGTGTTGATACAGTGCAAGTTCCAAGGCATCAATTTTTTTCATAAAGGAAGCAATCGCTTGAAAAGCAACCATTTAAAAGTTTAAAAGTTTATAACCCATAAAATAAAAAGCCAAAAAGCATTTACCAGTAAATTTATATACCAATCAGGAACTATTACGTACATCAAAACCAAGACTCAAAAGCATCGTGCATTAAATAAACCCTTGAAGATATTTATTGCCTTTAAAATAGTTAAAATAACAATGATAATTCACATGTTTCATCAAAANAAAAAAAAAAAAAACAATTATTACGCCAGAGTTATGTGTTGAAAAAAAAAATTTAATTACTTCATTCTGCACCTCTTTCACTGCTTTCTGTTGTGACTTAGTCGAAGAAGGCCCTGCTTCACCGATTACTTTCAAATCCTGCAAAAAAAATATGCCAACTAATTAAATAACAAAAATCTTTCGCTTGTGACTTATGATTTTTACTCGAAACAAAAATCTTTCGCTTGTGACTTATGATTTTTACTCGAATATCTTATCGTTAATATTTCTTAGATGAACAGAATGTGTCATACATTAATACCTTTCTTTCCAATGGATATTTCATAAACAGAATCATGTATTCCTTTTTCCAGCTTTTTCTGCTCCAAATAGAGATTTGTTTTTTTTTTTGTACAAATAATGCATACTAATTCAAGAGTCTTCAAAAACTGCTTGCTTAAAAAAAATATGCATGCTGCCGTCCCATAGTCTTTATGAATCAATTACAGGAAGAAGAATCACGTCCTAATATCTTCAAGAAGGTCTTTCCTTAAATATCAGCATTCTATTTTCAAAAGATCACAAGCTCTGTCAATGAAATTAAACATTTCTCATTGTTAATGAAAAAAAAAACTGAAATTGAAATTTACTTGCAAACAGATGATTTCATCCGAAACACTTGGCGCGCTCTCATCAAGCAACATTATCTGTAAAAAGAATAAAAATATTTCATATAATATAGAAAATCTTGAACATTCTTATAAAACAATGATTCTAATACTTTAATGTTAGCCCATCCACAAAGAAATGATAACTTTTTTGCAAGTTTTAAAAGTTAATAAGCATACACGAGAACTTGAAATATTAAAATAAACCTCGGGTTCATCTTCGCTTAAATTTTCTTGTCTGCTAGGCGAACTTTTTTCATCCATTAATAAAATAACATCTAAATCTGCAGTATCCCTGAAAAGTAATGTAATCCTTAATATGTTGGTTTTTAATCAAAAAAAGATAAACAGAAAAAGGAAGAAAAAACAAAGTTTAAATTCTGATGAGCTCATAAGCATTAGATTGGTGAAAGAAACGAACCTTTTTTCATCTGTTTTATCTTCAGTACTCAATTTTCGATCATCTAACAATTGCACTTCCTGGTCTGCTTTATTGTTCATCTGGAATTGTTGTAACATAAATTATTTCGCCTATATTATTCGATATTAATAATTTACAGAAATAACCAGATAATGTTAAACAAGCCGATTGAGCTTATAAACACCAAGAAGCTAGATAGAACTGGCTAAGAGCCCAGCAAAATGATGAATCTAGAATAGAACAAAAACCACAAAAATATGGAGATAATTTAAATCAGTATACAATCTTGTCAACAAATCAATAGTGTGAGGATAGATGTTCACGGGAGATTACTAAAATGTAAAATATTCCTTCATATAAAAGTTTTGAAATATAATAGTAATTAATAAGTTATATTATTATGTTTGTAAAATAAGCATGAATTAAACAACTCAGGGAAAAGAAACAAATGCCATACTTCTGATGTATCGTCAACTACAATTTCTATCTTCTCCTTCGGCACTGAAAAATATTGTTTAGCTTCTTCATAAACCTTTAATCGATTATGCAAAAATTAAATGTATGATGTAGACTATGAAATCATATCTTTTAAGGCATACTATGTACGATAGAAAGCAGTTCATTTTATGACATACCCAGCAATTGGAAAACATTGAAAGAAGTAGATTTGTTCTTCTGATTTTGAAACATTCGCATCGCAGATTTTTGTAGTCTGAAAACTGAAAATACCAATAAGCTTTCTAACTATGTTACCAAAAAAAAAAAACAGATCTTTTTTTTGTTGAGTTTTTTACCAATAAAAACCGCCCTGAAATGCTTCACAACTATCTTACACTTCCCAAGAAATGATGAAACCGAATTATCTTAAAAGTAAAGAATCGGAAATAAACATAGAATTAATAAATTGCGTTGATAAAAATATCACTGGAAAATATACTATCTGGAAATGAGTTCTGAAATACTCTTGTAAACCTGTAATGTTAACCTCTATAACATTACCATCAAAACTTATAAGATTTATGGAAATGGAATAGCTCATATTCCAAATGCTTTACAATTTTAATTAGAAAATACTAAATAGGAAATAGGGAAAGAAAACAAACAGAGCTTTTCTACAATTTAAAGAGAAAGAAGGATTTTCACCACTTTTTCTCCCTTTCTCTTTCCTTCTCCCTCTCTCTTTCTTTATGAATAAGTTAATAAAAAAAACGAATTTATACGGGAAATCCGTTTCTTTTTATTAACTTATTTTTACTGCTAACAGCAATTCAATAGAGAATCTGTTTAATTACCTCCACTTTTTGTTGATCCTTCCAGACGATATTTTCGTCTTTTTAAAACGGTCCATCTCTTCCTTTCCCAAACATTCAAATGTTCTGAAATTTGTTTCAAATAATCTGAATTGAATGAAAATCAAAATTAACGAATGGGATGTAATAAATGAAATGAAAACGAATTTGATATTCAAAATATTAGCAGAATTATAGCATCAGAAAGAACTACCTTGTAGAGTGATATTACTTGTATTTTATGTGTAATTCCCGCAGACATTGGTAAAGATATATTTTATATCGAATGTAGGAAGTTTTCAACAATTTATAATCTTTTTCTTCCCTAAGTATTTTGCAAATCTGCAAACTTAATTTATATTACTAGCTTTCTTTTTGGATAGTTTTGAATACAAACATAAGTCTTAAGCATGTAACACACATAAGTTATCTCAAACAAAAGATCGGATACGATATAAAGAAAGTTGGCCCAAAAGCAGATAGTTAACAGTATTTGAATGAGAGTTTTTCGGAAAGTTCAAAAGAAAACGATTAGCGTTCTTAAACCGATTTTGTATGACGTCATCCCATACCCATCTGCAACTGTCAATCAATAAACATGTATATATCTGCAGTCAATCAACAATCTCGTATAGTATTCGATACAGGCAAAATGATCAACTTGCCGGAATTTTGATCACTTCCTACTCTTCTCCCTCCATTTTCCAATAACAATCACAAGTATTCAAAGTCAATCAGAATAAAATTCATCGATAACCGACTAAAGTTTCGAGGTCACGTTTTTGGAATTGTAGCATTGATGAACTGAAATGAAATGAAATGTTTTATGAGATTGGATTCTCGATGATAAATAATACAGGCCATCCTATCATTTCATCCCCGTGTACGACGTTGACAGACCTATCCTATTATTTCATCATCGTGCACGACGTTGACAGGCCTATCCCAACATTTCATTCCCGTGTACGACACTGACAGATCTGTCACTTCTTTCCCACATACGACATCTTTCATTCCCATGTACGCTGTTGACAGGCCTATCCTATCACTTTACTCTTGTGTTCAAAGAACATGAGATAAAGGGATGAGACAAGGCAAGACTGAATTCCCGTTTGTTGCGAAAATTCGCCTTATGTGCTGCATATATGAAGAGGTGCACGTCATGCATGCATAAATTTGATACGTAACTTTTTCCTCTTTTGTTCACTCAATCCTCTATCAGTAAATGTTTGAAATGTTTTGAATTTTTTACATGCGAATTTTACGTATGCTAACACTAATAAAGTTGCCTATACAGCACAACCGCATAAACTAATTGCAATTCTTTATTATTTACACGTTGAATTTACTGATATACTTCTTTTTTTTTGCTAAAAATTACAGCATTTCTTAAATTCTTCTTAAATCATCAAACAATCATAATGACGTCATTTGGCATTTGACATATGATTGTGATGATTAGCAATTCTCCGCGACATATCTTCTTTCTTTTATATCAAATGTTTATTTCAATCATATTTACATTCGTTGTCTGAGATATTTAAATGTGAATTTAAATGTGAAAAAGGAAATAAAACTTTTTTTTTCTCAATATTACTTCTGATACAGTAAAAATTTTATCGTTTATCATTTTTGTCTCTTCTTCATTCTCTTCAAAATTTATATATTCTTTTGCGTAATAAATTTATTTTCCTAGATTGATTTTTCAATCTTCTAAAAAATTAGATGAGTAATTTTTTAGATTGATTTCTCAATTTTCTGCAAAGTTATACCTGCTGCAGAATGAGTTGCAACATTTAGTTAACATTTAATTATCCAGAAAATGATCACAGTTTTTTGCACTCATATTTTGATGTATTGATTAAATAAATTAGCTTCTTAATATAGTTTCCTGATTGTTAAGCTAAATATTTTCAAGACGACTTTAACCTTCCGCATGACAATCTGTAAACATGTTTGATAAAATAAATTAACCGAGAATGATATCGTTAATTAAATTGTTGAACTCTTCTTTACCATCTAAAACAAATTATACAACTGATTAGTCACATGGATCGGACTTTTTGAATCGGAAATGATTATCTCATTGCGTTAATACTAAAGAAATGCGCAAGCAGTATTTTTTTAATTCTTTTTTTTTTTTGATTTGGAAATCGTTTGCAAAAATTGAAATGAAACTCGAGAGATGAGCAAAAAAATGAATATGAAATAGAAATTTCAAAAAATCAGTCATTGGAAAAAAATTCATCGTTTCCAAATTGTACTGAAAAATTTATTTTGTGAAAGTATGAGAAATTAAAAATATAAAGCAAATAAACGATATGTTTAACTTGACAGTTAGGATGACAAAATTTGATAATTAAAATGCGAAAATAATTAAGATATTATCAGTCGTTTTTTTATATCAGTCGTTTATGAGTAATTTGCGAGAAATAAAACAAAAAATTTGCTAACTATTTACATTTCTCTTTTCTTATTTTATTTAAACTTGCTTTGCTTTTTCAATTTTTCATACCGGTTTTTCATTTCGTTCATTGACAACAATAATCAGTTCGCATTCATCCGGATATTATGAAAATGTATTTTGTTCTTTTTTTCTCCTTCATGTATATTAATTAATATTTTCTCATATAAATAAACTCAAATTGCAAGAAAAAAAAACAAATTCCGAATTAATACTTAAATTAGCATGAAAAAAAAACGATAAAAGAGAAAAGTTTAGTATCTTAAACAACGAGTTTATTTCGGAAATTATTACAAAGTAAGGAAAAAGAAAACATAACATTGTTCTATTCAAAGTTAATTTTAATGCCATATCTAAAAAAAATAGTCAGGTAGCAAGAAAGAGAATTGAACAGACAAGAAAGGAAAAATATTATTCAAGCAAAATTGCTTCCATAGGACGAAAAAATTCCCTTCCATAAATGTAACTCTTTTTTTGTTCCATTTTGAAAACATTGAAATTTGACAGAATTTACTGACAGATTAAATTTTGCAAAGGAAAAGAGAAAACAAGGAATAAAAATGATTAAGATTTGTAAGCGAAACAAATGATTTTGCCTTTTTTATGTTGACAAAAATTTTCCGCATGTGCCACGTGCGTTAAGTCATCCGTTGCACAGAATACGTTAAATTCAGCTCCAAGCTTAAAATCTGCTGCTTTCTTTATAGCAAACGCTGATTCCATCGCATTCATTCCAATCTTCTATAAAATTTATTATACAAATAAAAATTAATGAAATTGATATAGTCTAAATGAATTGTACATGCTTATCACCGAAGCAAGCAAAAAGTTTGTATAAATTCCGCATGCGGAAATAATAGAATTCACGCCTGTATAATGAGCGATAAAGAAGAAATAGAAATTTTTTTAAATACTTAAAAATGAATTTTGAAGTATTCAAAGGAAAAAAAAGCGAAAGGGAAAAAATGTGTACTTTTTCCATAATTATCATTAATTGATTACTATTACAGACAGGATTCATTTCATGAATTGTATTATTATCGTTCAAGAAATCTCGTTTTCGTCGTACAGAACAGATGCATGTTTGACAACAGGTACTGATTGGTCTCTCAAAATTTAAATAACATGAAAAATTCGAGCAAATTGTTATAAAAAAAATTTCCTAAAGTACAATTTTAATTTTTTTTTCCGTCGTTATTAGACATTTTAAAAAGCAAATTATACAACAACCGCAATTACCGATTTTTTTTTAGATCGTATTAAGCTTTTTTAAGAAATATTGAAGGTTAGAATAGGGACAGTTAAAATAAGAACACACGTTCTTGGACAAAAACAGTTAAATCAATTCACATTAGAATTTGCAAATTCCGGAAACAGTCATGAGTCATTTCTGGAAAGGAAATTTTGGTGATCTTTGAATAATTTATCATTTATGAGAAACAGATTTGTTTTATTATAATTTTCAAGCAAAAATTTTTGACATTATATCGATAATATTATTGTGCTATGTTCATAATTTTATACATTTGACACTTTCTGATATATCTTTAGTTTTAATTAAAAATTAAATAAGAGTATAATTTAGTATTTATTTTGATAAAATATTTTAATACTAATTGCTGAGTGACATGATGTAAACAGTTGTAGAATTTTTCAAATTTTAGATAACTATCAAATTTTAAATAATTATGGATAAAGCGAGTAGTTTGATTAAAAAACTTTGAAAACAATGTTGAAGTTTTCAATAGAAAAATTAATTGTATACAATTGGAATAGATGATAAACATGGTGGACAAATTCGAGGTGGACATATGACCGGTGGAGGACATATTGGTGACACACCACAAGAACATCCGGGAAGAATTCCAAAAGCCATTGTTTGCTTCATTAATACGAGAGCTACTGTATAAAGAGCAAACAATTCCATATCGCTATGAAATCTGCAATTTAAATTTCACGTTTATGGGTAATGAAATTTTTGGTTGCCATTTTTTGCATGTTGATCACCGGAAACTGGAAATATTGGGAAGCTAAAATTATCATAATCATTTCACATTTTTAATGCTAATATTATATGATACCACATATAGCCATCCGGGAAATCCTTCAGAAATAAAGTCATCACTTCTAATTCACCTAATTTTAGACTGTAGTAAGTAAAGGTCAATCAATAATACTTCTTTTCTTAAGTTTATCAGTTAAAACTAAAAAACCAAAATAGAATGTTTGGAGAAAAATGGAATTTTTAAAATGTTGACACTGCTACATGCAATCTTTATTCAACTATCAAAATTTATTTTATTTGGCCAATTTTATTTCATTTTTGCAAAAATTTTTGAAGAAAAAAATTTAATAATTAATATGAAAAAAGTGATAAATGAAAGAGTGATAATGACACATTCATACATTCAATTACTTCCTAAAATCTGCGATGATTTTTTTGCATGAAATTAATATGGAAGCAAAAAAAAGAGAAAAACCGTTCCCTTTTATTTAACTTCAGGAAACTATCCGAAAAAATGCTACAAATTGCTTTTTTTCAATAATAAAATGTCTCATATTTCATATTCATTGCGCAGAATGACTCATCACTCTAATAATATTATAATTAATGTCGTCACCCTTTGCAATTCTATAACAATCAATTTTGCTTTTCATTTTTACTTTTATTACTGGAGAGTATTACATGTGCTAATCATAATATTCGCCTAATTTCGTCTAATTTTATCACATATGTGTTACTGCATAAAATATAGAATAAATGAAACTGGAATAACTAAATATTTTTGTACTTAGTCATTTGATGATTACTGTATAACTTGCGCCCTCAATATTTAGTTAATAATCGATAAAGTTAATAATTTTAACTAATTCAAAATTCAAGAGAGAATGTTGAGAAGAATCAGAAGAGAATATTTTAATTAAAAGGTAATTTTCAATTATCTTTCAATTAAAAATTAGAAGGTAACTAAAAAAATATCACTCTTACTTATGTTTTAGTATTTATACTTAAATAACTAAATCATACTTTCTGTTGTAAATATTGTCAATTCATTACTTCGAATATAAAATACCATGAAAGTATTTTTATATATTCAAATTAATCTTCATTGAACAGTTTATTTTTCGTTCACATTTGTGGATATCATATAAATTATAAATGTAGGAGAAAAACTGAGTAGAAGAGAGTAAAAATTAGCATAATGAAAGTTAAAATGAAATAATTGAGATGAATAAATAAGTCATTATCATTAGAAGATACACATTTTATCATGAATTACAATCAACAGGCTGTACGCTATCTTTTGCTTCTAACGGTAAGGCATATCATCTATCGTTGTTTGCAATTTATTATGAATTGATAATTGAGATCAATAATGATATCACTTATCGTATACTCTTATGAAATAATACTTCCATACAGTTAAATAATAGATGGTGAAAGAAATGTTTAAAAGCTTAAAAGCCTTGCTGAAAAAATTTTAATTCAATGATTCTACATATAATTTATAATAGAATCTAATTGTTTTGATTGATTACTTCCAGTAAAATTTAAATGCGCAATGTTATTTCAAATTAAATTAGTATTATTTCTGCTAGGAATACTTTTTTTTAGAGGTGAGAAAAAAAAATAGAATTTTTCTTTCTTTTTTGATTGAATTAACAAGACTCTCATCAATCTAAATTTTCAATACCTACTGAAATTAACTATCACAATGCTTAAATTCAAACAGGTTCTAATTCTTCCGTCATTGATTAAAAATTTCTCTTAAACTGTCTTGCTTCAACGAACGCGAAATATTAAAAAGGAAGTGATTTGATATAGATTTATACGGTGACAGTATGTATTCGTCTACACGTCTAATTGTAATTTAAGAAGAACTTACGTGCACATTTTTATAACATATGTGTAATGATAATTCGAGATTTGTCTGAATTACATGGAAATATATTTAGCTTGTAAAATTTTAAGCATTTGAGTGAAAGAAAAAATAAGCTAAAGCACAGATGTATAGAAATATATTATTCCGTATAGGTAATTACATGGGAAATCAACGCAGAACCAAAACTAGGTCCATGTCCGGAAAAATGGTTACCATTACTTCCGGCAAATGTCAACGATTATGCATTCCTTCAAAAATGCATCTCTCATATTGATGTAACTTCAGTAAGTTACTTTAAAAAATTTAATTTTAATTAAGATTAAGTTATTTGTTGAATGAAATCTTTTGCGGAGGATCAAATTATTTATCATACAATCTCTTCATTAATCACTGTTAACCTCATCAGTTTGCACAATACAGACATTTCTCTCTGTGCTTTAAGATTTTCAACAAATTTTGTTTTACCCTTGTCCAGGATATTTTTTTAAAGGAAAAAATTATCAATTAATTAGCAAGAAATACATTTGATAAGGATATAATGCATTTCTTGGATAAAATAAAAGAGTTTGTAGTTTAAGTTTTCGAAGAGTAAAATTTATCACTTTAAAATAATGAGTTAAAAAAATGAGATAGGAGTATGGTTAAGTTGAACTAATTAATTTAGGTGATACTGACTATAATTCTCAAGCAGATGTTTTATCAATTAATTCATTTACATTTCTCGTCATTATCAATCATCATCAAACAGCTTTGCAAATACTCTTGCAAAACAATGTATTTTAAGTTCAGATAAAAAAGAAATGATCGTTATGTTTAGGTGATGCAGCAAAATTGTGTTTCCTCATACAAATATTTTTTTTAGTTAAAACCGAAAGTGGAAAAATTTGATGATGCAAAAAATGCTTGTTCTCATATGTTCGGGAATTCATCAAATGCTGCAACAATTTTTCTACCGGATGATGAAAGAGAACTGAAAAATTTCCTCAGTTTGTTGAGATTGAAATTTTCATTTTCCTAACTGCCATTAAAATTTTAATGGAATAAAAATACTGTTGTAGAAAGTAAAGTAATGTTATTGAAGTGATGCTAAGAACAAAAAATAAATGAATGAAAATTTTTTTTTAGCTAAAACAATGAAATTTCTTTCAATTTTATTTATTATAGAAAATTATGCTTTCTTTTGTTTTTTGCAAATGATACGTTTTATGACCTTCTTTTCGTAAGTGCTAACATATCAGTTGATAATATGACAACAGAAATTAATTAGTCGTATTTGTCACTAATTAATAGCAGAAATTTTAGCATTTGCCGGTAAGGAAGCATTGGAAGGAATGATAAATATAATTGTTAAAGAGAAAATTCTCTATGATCATTCTGATAATGTTCTACAAGGTTTGGGCAGAGCAATTGTCAATGCCGCGATTAATGCAACTGATAAACATTGCGCTTGGAATGTTCAAAAGGTTTCATGTAACATTTGAAGTTTCTATGACGCACGTATGCATGTATATATGCACGTGTATATTATATATGATAAAATTTTCTTTAAACATCATACTTCTTTCTCTCCAATTCTTTAAAAAAAATTTGAACATTTGTAGTAATTTTTAGGGAGAAGTTCAATTCAAAAGTTGTGATTCTTTTAGTACATTTTGGTGCCAATATAAAGGTAAATTTGAGTTAAATTTATTTCTATTCAAACAGCACGATTTTTACATTGTATAACAAAAATTGCAAGCCAGTAAGATATTATATATCCATAATTTATCTCATCAAAGGCAAATGTATCATCTAATTAACAGAAGCTCAAAAATATCGAATCTTAATTTTATCACTGAACTAATTTGATTAGAACTTTTAAAATGAAATTGTTATACTAATGTAAAATATTTGATAATATTTATTGCAATTAAATAATGAAATAATTTCAATTGAAATGTTAAAAATAATAAAAAAAAACTTTTTTTTTTATTTGAATGGGGAAATTTTTCCACTTTTTTCTCTCTCTCTCTTTCTTTCTCATTCAATTAGAAATGAAACAGCAGAAAATTTGAGGCCAAAATAATCTGGTGAAATTAATAAAAAAAGAAATGCGACAAATTTATTCATATTACCGCCTCCGAGATATCTTCAATATAAAAATATTATCGGAAATTTAACCAATGCGATATTTGATAATTTTATGAAATAAAATAATAACGTATGAGAATGAAGTTACTTTTTTTTTAATTTTAATTTTAAAATTTTCATTTCAGCAAAACCGCTATTGACAAATTATCGATGCAACGGTTGGTTCAATGCAGATCATGGATCACATGTCGGCTGCTATTTTCTCCATCGTGTAATTACTATATCAATGTTATCAGTAATTTTGATGAATTGATTGAGTGATTTAAAGGAAATATTTTGTGCTACGTTCAATTTTTTTCAATCTCATAAATAGAATAATCAATTTAAAAAAAAAACAAATTTAATTTACCAATTTCTGAATGGTTCGATTAGCTTGACTAATACAATTTTAAATTACATATAAATTATCATTCGTGCAAATGATATTATAGAGTGAAAAAAATTTCTAGTATCGTACATCAGCACGAAATGCCCGAGATATCTGTAGGGAAAAGAGAGCTCAATTGGTAACAATCGATAATATTGCTGAATGGTCCTATATCACACGTACAAAAAATCTTTAACATTTTTTTCGAACCATAAAATTATCAAATATTTTTGCATATATTTACGCAAATATGCTCTCTCATGCTCGTACACTTTTTTATTTTCAAATAATTTAAAAAGTTACAGATTTTATTAGTAATTGTATTTAATTAAAATTGGTCAAATAAATGCTCTAATTGGAAATATTTTGAAAATTTTTATCATAGTTTATAATTTAATTGTTATTTTTAAGTTAATTTTAACTAATAATTATAAATGAATCTTTAAGGTCTGGCTAGTACATTAGCGCCTAAAGCAAAAGATCGTTCGTTGCTGTTAGGCTATACACGTTGTAGCACCGATCCACCTGAATGGCGTACAATGGAAGGCGGCATTTCACCACAGTTTGTTCCTTTTCCTGATCCCACTAAAATAGACGATGAAAAATGTTGCCTGGAATTAAATATCGAAAATAAAATAAATTGTAAGTGAAATTTTTATCATTCACAACCTTTTATAGATTATGACACTTTTAAATTTTCATTTGTTATCAGATAAATATATGTTAAGTTTATGAATAATTATGAATAGATTTTCAAGAATATCCGATTTGAAAAGATTTGAAATAACTGGATTAAATATATTTGAAATGAGAATAAAGTGAATGGTAAATGATTATTAATTATGTAATTGAAGTAGCTTTTTTTGCATTGTTAAAGTCAGCCTAATTGCAAAACATACCGCTTTGATTATTGCGAGTTTCAATTTACAAAATATCTTTGTATTATTGTAATTAAAATTATTGTTATAAAATAGCTTAAAATTTAACATTAAATTTTGAAATAATTGTTAGAATTACTTCTGAATTAAAAAAATTGTATCAAATTTTTATCAAATATTAACAAATTTATCGATAAACGCAGGGCAGAATGATATTTAAAATTGCGCACATTGCGAACAATTTTCTTGTTTAATTAGATGATTTAATTTTTCAGATGAGGCAATAAAAATGCAAAAAGAAGCTTTTGAAGGTGCTGAATTGCAAGCAGTTCTTTGCAATAAGAAAGTTAATTATTTCATTTGCAAAAAAAGTATGTTTTTTTTTTTCGTTACGTTAAAACAATTTCTCATAAAGGACATTCTATTTTTTTTTTCAATTTTATGTCACATTTCGCTGTTCAGACATTAACAAATGATGCATACTTAAATGTTTAGAAATTTCAAAAAAGTTTGTATAAAATGCAAAATTAATAACACTGATTGTGTCTTGAATCCTTAAAATATACTCATTCGAGAAAAAATGATTAATTGATTTCGTGAAGTGATAAATTTTGTTTTACAGCTGAAGGCAGTAAATGATAGTAAAGCAACAAACCGGGAGATCTTAAATTCAAAAAAGCAAAACAAAAAAAATTTGGGAAAGAATTTGTAAAGCAATTCGCCCAGTCTTTTTTTAATATGATTGTTAGCGTTTTCATTATCAATTATCAACTCTTTATAATTGGCATGCATGTCGAACATTCGCAATAGATCCAAAAAAAAGTAGAAAATAATTCTCTGCTATCAAACTTTAGTTCTTGTTTTTTCGGGTAATTTTTCATATAGCTTTAAATTCAAATTACATTCCCTAAACAAAATTTCTTAAGCAATTTAATCGATTAAAATACATTTTCCTGAGAAATCACAGCATTGCGATCATCGTATTGAAGGCTTGAATTAGTCTAATAATCAATTTCGATCAAGAAATTGTAAAAATTTGCTGCGGAATAAAGAAAAATCATTTTCCTTTTTAATATCAAGTTTTTCATTTCGTTTTACTAAGAATTTATTACAAATATTCAATTTACAACAAAACTTAAATGACCCATTAGCAACGAATGAATAATTACAAAATATAGATTTCAATGATAATGCAATTAGATTTACTGTATTAAAAAGGTGCAAAAGTATTGTTACATTTTATCAACAAATGTCATTTGAAATTAAAATACTTTAATTCGGCAAGCAATAATATTAGAATTGCGATTAAAATATTAATTATTGTGTTGCTTTCTTTTTAAGCTAAAGGAAAAACTAATTTTCATTTTCTAATATTCGCTACATTAACTAAGTTTTTTAAAATCATTAAAAACGTCATATTATCCATTTAGACTTGAAATTTTTTGAAATCATCCCTTTCCAGTTAATAATCACTGGCAGCTTTCTATCTCTCTATTCTACAAAAAGACAATTTTATTTATTATATTCAATTTTCAAAGCTTCAATAGCTGTGATCAAATAAACTAAACTAAGTTAATTAGAATTTTCGAATTAAGAAATGCTACCATCGAGCAGTATAATTTTTGCTAAGCCCTAAAAAACAAATAAGAAAATATTTCTAAAAAGCAAACATCAGCAAATAAAATAAAAATTAATGTTGGAAATAAAATAAAAATTAATGTTGGAAATGAAATAAAAATTAATGTTGAAATAAAATTTATATGATAAGATTCAATGATATTGTTAAAAGAAAGATTGCTGAGTGTGTCAACGAGAAAGAAGAAAATGCGATTACTAAATATATAATTTTATCACACTGATAAAATTTCATCACTGATAATATTTGATAGCGTTATAAATACAATTCAATCATATCTTCATCCTTACGATTTTGATAATCCATTTTTGTATACTTTTTCCGGTTCACCCAATAATATTCGATCAATAATCTCTTTGCCTTGCATAAAACAATGATCCTGATTTGCTACTTCATATTTCCAACCACCAAATCGTCCTCTCGAATATATTTCATGCTTTTCGAGAATTTTATGCGCACGCGTTAACTCATTATCTCGCTGAATTAATTTTTTTTTTTTAATAGTATAAATTTCCAGTAATAATTTCTTTAAAAAAAAAACATAGAAATGATTAGTTATAATGCATATATGATACAGAATGCAATTGTTGAAGTTGAATGTATGATTTTATCACATTGATAAAATTTCATAATATGTTGAGAGTGTACGTACGTATAAAAAAACAAATCAGTGCACATTTCGTTGATATAAAACATATTTATATAATTAAATTAAAAGCAGTAAATTATAAATTCACTAACATTTACAGTTGGTATGGGATATCCGTATGATAACTGTATTGAAAATACGCTAACAATTTGTTCACGTGAAATAATTGTTTTTCGTATCAAACATTCAATTGTTTTTTCTGTTATTTCTTTCTCAGTGACCTATAATCCTTTCAAATTTAACAAATCACTGTGATTATTGCAATAAGCTTAATAGTTTAAAAATTATATAAATAATAAATAAAATAAGTCTGATAATCATTTCATCTTATCTCATCAATTTAAATTTTATTACTTGGCTAATTAACTGTATTATTAATTTTTTTGTAATGCACAGTTTTTTCATATATAGAAAATTAATTTCATTTTGAAGCACTACTTTCAAAAAATTTAATAATACAGTTAATTAACCGAGTGAAATTTAAATTATTTCAAATAAATGCAACAATCACTCCACCTTATCATTATTTATTACCAGCTTTATCACTAAAATATTCCTTCCAAAATTTCTAAATCTTATGAATAAATGAGAAAAAAAAAATAAACAACTGTGGAGATACTAACATCATTATTATTAATAGCATATGCGCATTCACAAAGTATCGACCAATATTTATTATTGTCAGGGGTCATTTCACCATAATGTGACAAGAAAGTAACACGATAGAATGGTACAGTATTTTCCGGGAAATAAAGCCAAGTGAATTGCTCTGCGATACGATTTATTGGCTTTATTAAGCCAACACCTATCACAAATACCTGAAAGAACATTTAAATACAAAATTATTCTTTAATTAATTAATTAATTCACTTGAATGTTGAATGTTAAGATATGTTAAGATGAAATTGATGAAAATTTATTTAATTTCTTACCTTATTATATTTTAAATCAAGATCCGGACATAATTTAGTATGTTTGATTAGTTGATCAATAGGTCCTGTATTGATAAGTATATCGTAGTTAAGTTTTACCTTTTCATTTTGTTCATTTTCATATGTAATTAATTTACCTTTTGCATCAATACCAATAACCTAAAATAAAAACTTAAATATTTTTATTACGATAATGTTCCAATATCAATTTTAAAAAAATTTCCGGAAACTAATAAATCTAATTTTTTATTCTAATAATTTCAATAAACATATATTGCTCTATTTAGATCATAGGTCCGGTATTGTTTTTTTTTCTACAGTTTCTGTTATATTTGTCACCCGAGATGAAAGATATTGATTAAATTTTGCTAATCGATAGTTAAACTAAAAAAAAAATTAGAAATTTAACTTGCATCCAAAATGAAACCATTCAGATGGCAATTTATTAGTCATTGATTTCCATATCGATCCTGTCCCATAGCGTTTCGGAAACATGAATCTGGCATTTGGACCCCAGCCAAGATCAACTTTCTGAAATTTGCTTTGCGATGAATAAAATTAAGATTAATTGATTGAAATAGTTCCAAACTGAAACAAAAAAGATCATAAATGAATATATTGAGTATTATTTATTAATGATGAAAAAAGTAATTTCTTAGTTTAATTTCAATTTGATTCGATAACATATTCTAATTTGCTTGACCCATTTTCATCATACAATATCATCATATAATAAATATAATATCAAAAAGTTTTGATCTGTTCGAAAATTAAAGACATAAAAATCAAATATCATTTTTTGACACGATAATATAATAACAATTATTATTGTAATTAAAATGATTTTTTACATTGTTGCAATTAAAGTCATTACAGCTTAAAATTTAACATAAAATCATGAAATTTTTTACAATAATATTGAAAAAAAAAAGTTAATTTATACTTGCAAATGTTTTTCATCCATAGCACAAAGTTTTTCCAGTTTTTCATAAGGTATCTTGGCAACTCGTGTTCCTACCCATACCGGATTCATCTGATCCGGTTTCACTGTCCAAACCTTTAATAATTGTACAAGTTCAATTCAGTTAACTTAATTTAGATTTTATGCTTTTAAGATTAAACTTTCCATTTATTACTCTCAACTGATTCTTTTAAACTTAAAATCAATCAATTTGTCATTAGAGAATGTTGAAGCATATGATGATATCATCACATATTTTAAAACAAATTCATTAATTATCCAAATCAATCAGTTTAAGAACAGTTGTGACGAAACCTTTTGAGTGTACTGCTTGAAGAAATAATTTCTCAATGTTGGCCCGAAATTCTCATTGATCCATTCATCGAAATTTTTTGATGGATTTAATTTCTAGAAAAGGAATACATACATTTAAAAAATCTGAGGAACTGAGATGTACATTCGCCATATTTGTACGATGAGAGGAATGCAGTATTACTTTCAAAGATTTCATTTTGTCTAATTTGGATTCAGAATTTCATTCTATTTTGAGATATATAAGTAATGAGGTTGAAATCTGAAATTGCCTTCAAAAATTTATTATTTATCTGAATTTAATTTTTAAAATTCATATTGTCAATCGAAGAAAATGAATGAAATTTTAGCAAATAGTATTTCGAAATTGGAAATGAAAATGATGAATGAATCAGTTAGACGATAGAGAAGCATAATAGTATTTGATAAATCGATAAACAATTTAACAAATTTCGTTATCATCAATTTACTTTCGGTTTTCTAAGTCGCTCTCGTAAATCCTCCAAGCACTTTTTTTTAATGCTTGCTGGAAATAATGGTATTGCATACTGTACTGGATATGGTACAAGATGTAAACCTTTCTCGTCAAACATATAACTGATATCAACCTATAATTATGTAATACTATATCATATCGTATCACATCACATCATATCATTATAGTATTTAATACAGATCTGATATGCTATTGATGAATATCATGCGCGTCAATTTTGTTCCGTTCTGTTTTCTGGATAAATTGTATGCTTCAACGTGTCCATTTAAATTATTAAAAATGAGGAAAAATTTTTTCAACTATCAAAAATAAAGAGAAATTTTATCAACTGTTAAAAATGAAGAGAAATTTTTTTCAACTTTTTGATATATTTGAAAAATAAAAACCTGACAATTTCTCGTCAATATATTCCATTCATTGATTGCCCAACATATTGCTTCTGTATAATATGGAAAATTATGATCAAAAGTGATATGTCCACCCATATCCCAGAAAAATCCATTTTCATCCATAATTGTACGGCTTAATCCACCAGGTGATAACTCCTACATTTTACAAAAATCAAATTTTACAAAATTATTCATAATTATTTTTAACAATTGATTTGGACAAATTAGAATTTAAAAAATAAATTTAATAAAATTTAGTTTCGTTCCTTCTTTTTGCAAACTTCAATCACTAAAATTTCTTGCCTTCCTATGCTCCCATTAAACATTTTAACTTGCTAGTTTCATCATTTTTGATGCTCTATGATTTATCACATCACTAAAGTTAACCTTAACGCTATCATTGTCATTATCATTATTATTATCATTATTATTATCATTATTATTATCATTATTATTATCATTATTATTATCATTATTATTATCATTATCACTATAATTTTGTGCTGCTTGCTGTATAGATTGCTCCAGATCGTGCAACAAAAAAAGTATAAGTAATTCTTCGTTTAATCGTTTCAATGATTTCATATCGCTGTATTGAGAGAAATAAGACAAATCAATAAAGGTTATACACTAAAAGTCTTTTGAAGTTAGAAACAGAAAACTTTTCGAGAGCTGGAAACTGATAACAACAGTATAATTTTATCAAAGAAACCTTAAACAGCTTAATTTAAAAATTAAAAAAAAAAAACATTCAAAATGAATTTGTCGTATGATCGGAAAATTGGTGTTGATTTTTCGTCTTCCTTCATTGTCATACATATTTTTATGTCTATACAGCATTTCATACTTCAAACATATTCTCTACGGTTGTTGTTTATTACCCTGCTTTTTTTACAATAAAATTTTATTTTCGAACTGATTCGGACTATAATTAGCTTTTCACTTCTTAAAATTTTGGAAAGAATTTTGCGCATTTGTTTTTCTTCTACTAATGATTACATATGTAGTAATTTTTTCTCTATCACAAGTATTTCTAGAAAACTCAATTTTTGCTATTTAATAATCTCAGAGTGTGCTTTTGTTTTTCAACAAAAAACAAATTGAACAATTTTTGTTTACATCTATGATTATTTCACGAAGATTGGAAGATATATAATGTAGAAATTGTCTCATACAAGCATTTAGGCATTTTGTAATTAGTTAATGAGTGTAAAATTATTGATCGAAAATAATTTGGAAGAAAAATATAACACTTTAAGTATTGATAAAAATATTTTCCTCATATTACCAACCTTTTCCAAAACAATGAACTCAACATGTTTAGCAACATCAACGTTACTCTTTTGCAATTGATAAAGACGGTAGGCTACACCAAGGCCTGTCGGTGCTGCACCGATAACCACAATTCTCATCAAGCAATTTCCAAGTTATGTTTATGCACACTAACTAATATGATTTTCTAAACCTAAAAAAAGTAGCATCAACAAAAGATTTTAATCATTGAAAAGTCATTTCTAAATTTTGATTACGATTGGCAATTAAAATTTAGAAATGATTTATAGGAATTGTTAAATGTCAGCGAATAAATGACAAGCTATCAACAAAGAAAGAGATATGAATGATAAATTAATCTTTTATTGATTGATAAGGACAGATGAAAAAGGAATTGATGAGATGATATGAACTATATTGACCCAAATTTGCAAGATAGATATTGAAAAAGGAATGTCACCTGTCTTCCTGCAAAGGAATAATTCTATATTTTCTGTATCTATTCCTGACCAGAATTGTGTCCATCCATTTCATTAATCCATTCTCATTCTCACTCTTTCTCTCTTCTTCTCTCTCACTCGCTCTCTCTCCCTCTCTCTCATTAACTATGGAAAGACTATATATAATTTTTCCTCAGAAAGGCATATTTTATAAATTTTCAATACTACAGTAATTTTTACGGCTTTTTTGAAGTTCTTTTGATCAAACTTATGCAGCAACTGCCATTTAAAAATAGTAGTAACAATAAAAATAGTTATCCTGTTCCCAGTATGTTCAATACATATTTAAAATGAAAATTATATTCAATTTCTATAAAACAATTCAAAAACTCCAATTAAATTTACCATAATTCACCATAAGTTTAACCTTCCCAATTAGCATCATTTTTGTAATTTTTTAATCTTTTCTAATTACCGTATTTTTAATTTAAAATCCATAATTTTAAGCACGTTGCAATATTTTTTTCATTAAAATTTTCTTCAGTCTGTAACATACTGATTTTACAGCAAAGAGATAGCGATTAGCATGTATTGCTAACTGAACACAGCAAAGTATCCGCTTTCAAAAGAAGAGAAAAAAAAAGCTTCCAAAAATTCAATTCTATTTACCTACTGATTCATCTTTGAAGGGCTAAGTATTCTATTATGGAAGTTACGGACTTTAATCTCTTAAAATAATTTTAAATGAAAGAGTACAAGACATTGTTTGCACAAGCAGCAATGCATTAATGATGCCTAATTAATTTTCAGGCTATTAAATATTATTTTATTTTTCACGATAAACAGCATGTATGAATTGTTAGATACTTTGCTCAGAAAATTTATGATTTCTTTCAACTTTTGGGATAAATCTGAATAAATTTGAATTAATTAATGGAGCAAAATGAATCATTTTCAGAAAAACTTCAAGCTTTCATTCATCACTTAAAAATTTAATTGGAAGTTTAATGAGCATAATTTTAAAAACTCTGAATACAAATGAAATAAAAAAAAATTTCCTTTTTTCTTTCAAAATAAATCCAATTATCGATATTTTTAGAGATCTTAAAAATGTGAAAAGTTTTTGCTAGCTAAAAGTAGAGCAATCTGTACATATAATGCTAAGTTTAAAATCATTAAGCAAAATTCAAACTAAGCGTTAAGAAATGGAAAAATTTAGAAATGAATGGCTAAGATGTTACGATCAATGAAATATAACATTTTAGAGAGACATAAAATTATTTTCTGAGAATTATTGCAATAAAAATTCTATGATAGCTGCGAAATTGTTTGATATTACCTGAATTAAAATATTTTAAATTAAAAAATCAAATTTCCAATTTATGTAAATAAAATTTAACTGAATCATATTGGCCAAAATATAAACTGCATTATTTGCTTTTAATCGTGAAGCAAGGAATTATAACACAATATTTAAAACAATTTAAGATTGATGCAAAAAAAAATTTTAAATCATAATTAAGTTCTTTCCATGGATCGATGATTAAAATTTAATAAGTACCAATAGTACTTCATTACACATTAACGATTTCTACTAAAGCTATGCTGCTAACAACTGCTTTGCTCCATAAGCTTTCGTCCACTACCGGCTATTTGTCTGTTCTTCTACACGAAATATTTGAAATGGCATAAAATTTCACTCAGTAATATATGTTTGTATTATAAGCAACATATACTCGATGATTTCATTTAAGCCGGGCACTATTTATGGGATTTTCGAAATTCTTGAAATATAATACTTTCGCAAATCTAAATTCTACATCCTCAACTTTATCATTTAGCTACAGTCTTCAAGTTAAAGCTCTCTCTCTCTCTCTCTATCTTTCTCACTTTATTTCATCCATTGTACTTATTCTTGTGCCAGTTCAATTATCCGGAATTTTCTAAAGGGCAAAAAAAATTCTCTTCCCGCTTTCTGTAAAGCGGGAAACAGAAGAAAAAAGAAAATAATTTTTCAGAATCTCATTACAATCCTCAATCATTATTTGACTATTTATTTGTTACTTCCTATCATTGATTTGTCACAATTTATATTTTGCATAATTTTTTTGCTTCAAAATTATTTTCGCTTCAAAATTTCCTCTTCAACTTTTTGTGTTGCATTCGACAAAATTTAAGTGATCATTAATTATACATTACGATTTTAACTCGTTTAATTTTCATTTATTTCTGAATTATATAATTTTATCTACGCGCAAATTCAACCAATCATTTGTCTTTTCAGTTTGATGGGAAAATGTTTGCGTAATTCGTTTTAATCGTTAAATTTCCGTTCAATTTAACTTACGACTTAATATTATTTTAGAAATTTTAAATTACACAATTTTCAAATTTTGCAAATGTATCATTTAATTTCAACTATTGCAGAGATTGCAAATTCAATTTCTACTGCTATTCGCATGTTTGTCTGGCTTCTTTTAAACAAGTATCATTCACGTTCCTTCAATTTGCAAAATTTGATACAGTAATATTTATGGGATGTAAAAAGTTAACTGACCTATCAGTTCAAGTTCATTTACAGGGATATATCACTGATCGGAGTGATTATCTATCACATATATGGAAGTAGAAGTTTAATAGAGATTTCAAGTTTGAAATGATGAATTGATTGATTAGTAAGAAAATAGATGTCAGCTTCAGTTTTTCAAAACTTTCATTCTCTTCATATGTTTCTGCAAAATAACTGGAAATATATAAAATGCAATTTGCAAATCTAAAATTAATATTTTCCAAATTCATAAAGAAATTTCATGAAACGATAATTTTTAGTGAAAAAAAATTTTACAATAGTATCAAAACGACCAGTTTTGCGCGGAACTCGAATACAACAAAGCAAAAATTTGAAACGAAAAAATGAATTTAATCCAATCCCAAATATGTCATCGGTGATGGAAATGAATGAAAGCAAGGTTGGTTGATGATATTTGCAGTACATTTCATAAATAGTTCGATAGTTTTTATTTGTAAGTTCTTGGCCAAATCCCAAAACTGACACTCATAAATTTTTGGCCAACATTTCAGCATTGACATTCATAAGTTTGCGGCCACACATCTCGAGACTGACATTCACAAATTCTTAGCTAACATCCCAACACTACATTTATAGTTCTTGGCTGACATGCCACTGTTATTTGATTTCCCATTCTGGCATTCATAAGTTCTTGGCCAACGTGCCAATAACTGTTAATTTCAAAATTTACTAGTGTTGATCTTTTTTGCCATGCTCAGTTCTACCATATTCATAGGTCAAATATTTAAATTTGTGTCAAAAAGTGGCAAATGTGTAGCTAAGTGATACATATGAATGGTTGGGAGTATAATGAAATGGAAAATGTTAAAATTTTAAATATGTGAAAGTTGAATGAATCTTCAACGTGAGATCAAAGTAAGAAATTGAAACTCAAACAAGAATATGACCTTTTATTGAAATTCTTTAAATAATATTGAAAATAGTCATTCAATTGATTGGAATTGATAGCGAATCTCCAGTCAATAAAATTTATAGCTGATAATATCTAATATATATTTATGCCCAAATATAGAATGTTTAAATTTCAAATTTCAAATTTCCTAAAAATGAATCAAATAAATTTTTTTTTGCTACGGGTCCAACAAGTATTACATTATAAAAATACCAATTTTCACTTCCAGTAAGAACTGAATTCAAACATTTTATATTTGAGAGTAAGAAATTTAATTCTTCTTGACAACCATTCGACAATAACAATAGAATTCTTTCATCATTGTTTACTACTATTTGATTTCCACATTATTCATTCTCCTATCGCTGTTGTATGAACAATTTTTAAATTATCATTTCCATGCTTTATCATTTATCCATCATTTGTCAATTTTATTAATTTTTCATAGAAGTCAAACTTTTCAATTAAAATCCAAATTTCCATTTAAAGATTTTAAATATTTGTTTTTTCTTTAAATTTCCATTTAAAGATTTTAAATATTTGGAAAAAAAATCATTGTTGACATGATATTTTCATGATAGAAAAAGAAAAATCATTTTCCAACTACTACATAATTACTGTATTCAAGTTTATCTCTCTTTAATTACTGTTAACAATTCGATGACAAGATATGAACTGTGCTCTCTTACATTTGCATTTACCCTACAAAAATTACGCCATTGGAATATATCTGTTTGAATCGTGTGTGTATGCGTACGTCGGTGCGTAACGGCGTGTGGCAGTGAGTGGATGTATGTGTGTGTGTGTGGCAATGCGTGGGTGTGTGTGGCGATGCGTGGGTGTGTGTGGCGATGCGTGGGTGTGTGTGTGTGTGTGTGTGTGGCGATGCGTGGGTGTGTGTGTGTGTGTGTGTGTGTGTGGCGATGTGTGTGGAAGTAAAAAGATAAGATCAAAATGATCGGTGATATGTTTCGACAATTTCACTTAACATGACAAAAATGCATTCATTCATTCATTCATTTATTCATTTCAATTAAAAATGTTGAATTTTTGCCTAAAAATAAATTTGAAAGATTGGCAAAAGTTACGATATTAATAATACTATTATTAGTAGTTTAATAACAATAATGCAACAGTGAAGAGAGTTATTTTTTTAAGATGGTTGTTTTAAATTAGTATTCTGAATGTATTGTGCAATATTCAAAAATGACTATCAAT